TTGTCTTGTGAAATTATGCAAAGATTCTCGAGTTTATTTGCACAGAGTTATTCTATACCTGTAAACCCCTCCTCACCAGTGCCTGCCACCTTATTACAGACCAATTCCAACTTTTATTGGTCACTCCGTGTCCTACAAAGTACCATCACAAGGAAGAAACACAAAATACATTTTTGTTGCCCGTATCGAAACGGCTGTTCGCCGTATGGACCTAAAAACAAATTCCCTGTACAAGAATAGGGTAAACCGTGTAGGTTGACAGCTGTGGTTATTCCGTTCTGGTGTAAACCTAATGCAACTGTCATCAGCCAAGATCTTTTCCACTGATGGATGAAGCCCCCCCCGCCCCCCACATCGTGATTGTTGCACCATGCTTCACTGGTATATATAAAACATCTAAACCCGTCCAGAGGTTGCGTCTGCATACTGGGTATAGAAAAGCAATTCGCCGATTTCCTAACAGACATGGTTTATAGAGATCTATTTCTGCTTATATGCCTACGCTTTATTCAAGGCGCCAGTTTAATAGCCCAATGGGCTAACCAATACGCCACCGCTGTACCTCCAAACACACGCATATACGGAATATTTAATCAAGAGATGAACCCCTCTCGTATCAGCCACAATAAAGCTTCTTTCGGCAGAATACACAGCAGTAGATGTAAAAAAAAACCGCTGGACCGCCCACGTATTAAAGGCGCTAAGACAACGCAGCAGCCCACGTTTGATGTCACGGCGTAACCGCTCTCGGAACACACATCGCTTTCACGCGGCGCTCTGCAAAGCACTCCTCGACCGAAGAAAGCCTGTTAATACGCCGAGCGAATAATCTCAAACGAGTCCGCGGTCGTCCGCCCAACCACCCACCGCCCTCCCGGCCAACAACCCGCGCAGCATCGCCCAGGAGCTGTGCACGCTCCCCGCAGGCCGTCCACGTGCGAAGGGCCGCGTCGCGGGCGCCTCCCAGCTGTTTCCGGTCGGCGCGCGCGGCACTTCCGCCCCGCCCGGGCGCCATTTGCTCGACTTTGAGCGGGCGACGGCGAGGTCACCATAGTGGCCGCTCACCGTGGGGGCGGCGTTCCCGAGGAGACGACGGGAGGAAGGGGGGGGGGACAGAGACGGCGCTCTCCTTCGTCCGCGCGACCGTTCGAGCGCCGAGCGCATCTGGGGTCGGCCCGAGCGACGCCGTTGCCGAGGGCTTGGGGGTGGCGTGCGAGCGGAAAACGCCATCTGCCGATTTCAGCCTCCTCCTCCGTCTCCTCTTCCTCCTCTGCCGCCTCCCCTACCCAACATGGCGGAGGTGGTGACGTCACCTCGGGGGCGGGGGGGGGCTCGAGCGCGCATGCGCGTGGGGGGGGGGACTTATTTACGCCGTTCCGACGGTTCTAGCGGCGGCGCGCAATTGGCCGGCGGCGCGAGCACGTGATCCCGGTAAACAAAAAATGCAAATTGGAATTCGATTTTTGTTGTTGTAAAATGTAAATACGGTTAGCGCAACAATACGGAAAGTAACGTTTAAAAACAAACGATAAGTTAAGATTTTAAAAAATATATACTTTTGGCTGTTTTAGTGCGCGCGGGCTCGATCTCTGAAAATGGTGGCGCGCAGGGGGGCGGGGGTGATGGGTCGTGGCTCGCGGAGAGGAAGAGGGGGGAGGGGCTGGCGGGGGGAGGGGCTGGCGGGGGTAGGGGCTGGCGGGGGGAGGGGCTGGCGAGGGGAGGGGCTGGCGGGGGTAGGGGCTGGCGAGGGGAGGGGCTGGCGGGGGGAGGGGCTGGCGGGGGTAGGGGCAGGCGAGGGGAGGGGCTGGCGAGGGGAGGGGCTGGCGGGGGGGTTCACCAGCAGTCAGCCGCGCGCTCGTGTAGGGAGGGGGCACTTCGACTTCCGGGTTAGACCCCCGCCCCCCGCTCCCTTCATGCATCGGCTTTCGCGGCCCCGCCCCCCCTCCGGACCCCCCCCCTCACCGCGCCCACGTGACCCGCAGCCAGTGTTTGGCGTGTGCGGCCGCCCGAGGTGACGTCACAGCCTCTCCCCTCAGACGAGGGGGACATCGTTACGAGCACTTGGCGGCTCAGCTTTTTACACAAATAATTTCTATTCGGCTTTATTAATAACGATTTTATTTCATTGAAAACATCCACGTCCCCATTTTCCCCCCGTTTATAGGCGGGGTGGTATTTTTTTTATGCGCATAACAAATTCCCGCTTTGCGTCGCCTCACGCGTGGCGCGCCGCTGACGGTGGCGGCTGCTACCCTCATTAACGGCGGCGGCGACGACGACGACGCTTGGGGCACTGGCCGAGGTGAGCCAAACCAGCCGCACTCACGTCCCCTAACCACGACACGGCACCCCCTGCTCTGTAACCGCCGCGCTCCGCACATCACGTACGTCCGGGCGGGCGGCGCGGGGCTGCGGAGTTCAACGCAGCGACGACGTCGGTCGTAGCTGCGTGGTGGTGGTCTTTCCCCTTTCAGCCATTCCCTTAGACGGTGTCGGTGGCGACGGGAGAGGCGAGGGAGAGAGGAGTCGCGCTTGCTTGTCGCGGGCTCGTAATCGTTGTACGTGTGGAACGCCTGAGCTCTCTCTTGGTGGTGGTTACGTGTAAACTGGCAGAATGTTGGCGGGTTGTTTGGGTGGTTGCGAGTCGCGGTGGTTGCCGCGCGGTTAATGGCGCAAACAACAGCAGCAGCAGCGGCGGCGGCAACGGGGGAGGGAGGAGGAGGAGGGAGTCGTTCACGGGGAAGGAAAAGTTGCCTCCGCCGTGCATGCCGCTCTTGCCCTCCCCTCCGTCAGTCCGTGTCTGTCGCTTGCGAGGGCAGCGAGGGCGGTCGATTGGCGATGGTTTGTGCGGAAGGTGATGGTGGATTGAAGCTGCTGATTTGCGGTGGTAGTTGGTGTGATAACTGTTAAGGATTCGTGGTGCCGCTGCGTGTGCCTGGTCGTGGTGGTTGGGTAGGGCTGGCGTGGTCTTGGTGTGAGGCAGCTGATGCTTGTTTTAGTGGTGCTTTTGGGAGGGCGGCTGTCATGGTGCTCTATGGCGTTTTAGGATGAACGGTGGTGCTGGGTTAGGGTTTTTTTTATTGTGTTTGTGGTGGTTTAGGCTGAACGCTTGTGCAAGGAGGTGAATGAAGGTCGAGATGCCGGTTATATGGTAGAGGTTTAGGAAGGTTGTAGTGGTGGTTGTGTTTGTTTTGGAAATCAGTGGTGGTTTGAGCTGGGTGTGGTAGATCGTTTAAGCTTTGGTGGTGATGATTGGCGTGGTTATGGTTTAGTTTGGATAATAACTCTTGAGCAATGGACACCGACAGCAGCCTTTACACTTCGACCCTTGCGCTCACTCGACCACCGTCGTCCGTCTTCCCGCCGGTGCCACCAGATATCAGATTTGCCATGTGCAGGCATCTTATTCTCTACAGCTGTCAATGAACCCCCAACCCCAAACGTGCGCAGGTCGTCTGGGAACTTCCCCTCCTGCTTCCCTGATTGCGCCTCTGGCTTGCCTGTATTCGACGTCAGGTTCTTTGTGGTTGGCCTCGGTGGAGCTGGACCCTTTATTTTTTTTGTTCTCTCTCGCGCTGTGTATAACTAACGTGCATGATGACTGCGCGTCTTGCGTGCGCGCGGTCCATCTCTTTTTATTAATAAATAAGCCGACTGGGGGTGAAGACGACGGGCCGGACGACGTCGTCACCGACGAAGCGGAGCGTGCATCCCTTATCGCAGGGACGGACGGCATCTTTTCGCCGTCCCTTGGCGAATATGTAGGAGCGTACAAAAGACACGGAACCGTCTCGCCTCGTCCCCCCTACCATCTCTCCCCGTAGCTGCGTCCTATCCCCTTTTAACCTCGCGCAGCAATTTCGACGGCGACACCAGTCGGTCAGAGGGGACCGCCTGCTCTCTCTCTCAATCCGGCGACGGACGCCCGCCTAGGTAGTGAAGCGAGCTTCAAGCCTCGTCAGCTCGCCTCTCGCTTTTTTTTCTTGCTATAGCTCTTCGCCTGAGTCGTGCCTCGGGGTTTTTTTTTGTTGTGTTCGCCCTCCCTCTGGCGAGCCCGCTCGCCCGGGCAGTGCAGCTCGTGCTTGTTGGCGAGGAATGCTGGGCTGAGGATGAAATGGCGCCCGCCTCGCATAGCTCAGCCCTCGCCGTTTTCTGCACATGGCCAGCAGTGTGTGGACCGCTCGTCCCCTGATTTCCCTCTCACGAGTGCTTTGTGCGCGTGGAGTGTCTCGTACACGTTTTGTGTCTGCGTGGTAGTGCGTGCGTGCCTGTATTGATGTTTCAAGTAGTGTTACTGTATTGTGTTCCCCATAATTAAAGTAGGCGACCCACATCCCATGCCTTAACTTAGCACGTAAACAGCGAAGTGCTGTCAGAGTGCTGTTCTTGTACTGTGCGTTTAGATTCCATTAATGTATATTGAATTAATTGCATCTGCATTGCCTTTTTCAAGTCTGTTCAGATACCTTCACGTTACACTGTTCCATCTCTGGCGCCGTTTTTTGGGTAGCAGCAAGGATATAGTTGTAGGTTGATGGTTGTGGTTACGCGTTTAGTGTATTTTACTCTACATGTACTTTGATGTTTCTCTGTGTGCAGTAAGTAGGGTGTGCTCAGGGCCAGCGTGAAAGTAGAGAGTCCACGCGTGCTGGGGTTACCGCTGGTTTCTATGCCATATTTACTCAACTTGTTTACTTGCAAACATTTTGATGACCTTCACTCAGCAGGAAGGTCTTGGGTTAGAAGTTGTGCTTCCACCCATATCACGTTAAAATGATGTGCTCACAGGAGAAATAATGCATTTTTTGGTTATCAGAATGATATAAGTATCATCGGTATTGTTGCAGGTGCCATTTAGATTGCGTTAATTTATTATTACGATACTTTACATTCTGTTGACGGCACGTTCTGTGCTTCTACTTCCTTATTGCAGGCTCAGCTGTGACGTGGGTGGCTCCAGACGGTGTACCTGCCGTGAAGACGCCACGATGAAGGCAAGGACGATCTTCCATAGCTGTTGTGGCCGTGTGCTTGAATGCGATGTCACTGTGTGTCCCTAGTTCAGGGACTTCACTTCTTTGAATCACCCCCAGGTGTAAGTTGGCGGCACAGAAGGCTGAAGGAAAAATCCTGCTTATGAACTTGAGTTATTGCAATAATTAATGGTCGCATCATGTTTTAGTTTCCACTTCAGACAGCGCACCGTGATTACCGCAGAAGTAATGAACAGTTCTGTAAATTGAACGGTGTGGAACTGGCACAGTGGTAAGAGTGCTGGACCACTATGCTTTCAGTAATTAACCCTACCAAGTTGTAAAATAATTATTGCTGGAATGGTCTAGCAGATGCACGTCAACAACATGACTTGGTCAGCTACGCCAATAATTAAGAACTACAACGTGCCACTCATGTGTTTGTTACATTAAATTAAACTCCTGTAACATGCTGCATGCTTCCACAGTCCTTTGAGATGAAATTGAAATATCCTGTCTATCTGGTGTTGAAATTTAGGTCCCAGCATCACTGTTTCGCTGATCTAACATTTCACGAGCGAGACGGTGCTTACAAACTTGCTATCAGTGTAGCATTAGGTCTAGGAGCATTGTGCCTCAAGAGTTCTGCCCATTAAATCTCTGTTTTCTTGTCTCTATTAATCACTTTGCTTAGATTCTAATAAAGCTAAATTTAAATCAGACCGAAGTTAAACTAGTCATAGCATATCCTTGTTAGTTTAACTCTTCTTAGTGATTAGATATTTTTCAAGTGATAATTGTATCAATTTGTCAGTGGCATAAGCAGTGCCTATAATACATCATGTTGCATTTTAAAGTATACTTTTTCACATGTGTAAGCTTTTGATTGTCAACTCCTAATTGTGGTTTGTTGCTTACGTCGTAAAATATTTCCAGGCAGATGACTTTGCTCCACATCTGTACATTGCAAATGGTTGCTGCAATGTGGCTGTCAGTTTTAATAGAATGCTTATTTTATACTTCTAAAAAGTGTAAAATAATAACTTGCAGCTTGCAACATTTGTTTAAACCTCTTAGAAAGAACACATTTTTCAATGTCTGTGCAGACACGGTCGAACTTTGGCTGCGTACATATTTGGCCATCCGTATTGTCACTCATTTAGATTGTTTATTTTGTGAACACAGTCACTTGGTAATTTAGAACAATATACTTCATAAAATAGCTGTTCCAGAATGTCAGAAAAAGGGACGTACCGATCTTTTTTATTGTGCTTTTTCTTAGAAAATGATCTAAGTACCTTTAATCAGCTTCTTTTGTTTTCTTATAGGTGCAGCTTTCTAAAGTAGTGCTTCTCAAAATGCATCACAAAATGCCCATTAAATGACTGTTTTTTTTATGTGGAGTGCTGTATTGTGGAGTTGGAAAGTGCATTGTATTGCACATGATGACAAATACTAAAAATCATATTCTTTCATAGTTCTTTGAATATTGCTTAAATATGCAACTCAGGCATGAGTAGCAGAGACAAGTTGGTGTGTTGTGTAACGGGACGTTGCATGCTTGAGGTCTTTTCACACGTGAATGTCTTGTGTCTTTATGAAGTTGGCAGATGAGCCCGCCTACCTAACAGTGGGCACCGATGTGAGTGCCAAGTACCGTGGTGCCTTCTGCGAAGCCAAGATCAAGCTGGTGAAACGGCTCCTGAAGCTGAAGGTAAATTGGGATGGTTTGCGTTGTCTGGACAGACCAGGAATGACAGCCTAGGGCTTTAATGAAACATCACAATTGCTTGAACGTAGCGTCGGCGATGCAGGATTATCATGCACACTTTATTTTATGAGGCAGTCGACCAGAGTTGCATACACATTTGGTTGCATACAATTTAAATATGGGATAAAAAGGGTAATAGTTTTCTTATATTTAATAGAAATCACCTTTGCAGCATTGTGGCTTCAAAGTTATATGAATAGGCATGTGCCTTTAATTGTTCCAAATGCTGAAATATCATATATCATAATATATGCATTTTGACAAATACTTAAAATCAATTTCTTTAATTGTTCGAATATTGATCAATCTGCAACTCAGGCATGAGTAGCAGAGACACTTTGGTGTCTATCGTATATTATGATAATCACTCATTTCGTGTGAGTCGGACAACCGTCAGGATTGTCTTAGCCCGCTTTTACGATGGAGTAAAAAATACATGTCATCTTCCGTGCACTATCTAATGCATCTGCGTCTGTGCCAAACTTCCGAAAATGTAGAATGTTGAGCTCTGGTGGGACTGCTTATAAGTTGTACAGTAGCAAACTCAGGTGACAGCTATTTGATCAAGTATGCTGTGATTTTCATTTTACTCAAATCAGAAACATTCATGGCAACAAAGTGTTCTCTTTTCTTTATGTTCACTTAGGGGTAAGAGGGAAATGTGTAAAAAAAACATCTCCTGGTGATGGGTGGTGTAGTTTATTTTTTTCCAACCCACTACTGTTTTCAGGAAATTGGTTAGCATTAGTCTAAAGCAGTATTGTGGTTATCGTTGATTTGACCATTCCATCGATCCTAGGATAAGGTTTTAAGGTAGTTTAGTTGAGGTAACAGTAAAAGTCCTTGATCTTTAAGAAATTATTGATAAGTTCTCAAACTAATGAAGCCATAGAAAGGGCTATGAAAGCGAAGCAGAAATTATTTTGTGTGGATGAAGTGGAAGAGCGTGGGAGGATGCAGGCTATATTGAAGGGACACAGAAAGCAAATCAGAGATAAGCTGTTATGGGATTTGGACTACTTCTTGGCAGAAGCAAGCTGGGGGAGATGGAAGATGCTGACAGCAAGAGGGACAGCAATATGTTATTCTTGATGGTGAGTCGATTGCATTAAGAAGATGTCGAAGAGTATAGGACTGGAACCAGTTCGCATAGTGGGGTAGAACAATTGAGGGTGTATATGATGCATTGTTCATCCAGCTGTTGAACAGGAAACAATCTATCGTATCAACAGAATCATTTGGGGACATTGGGCATAGGAAGGGAAGCTTCTGTGCAGAATTGAAAGATGATATAAGAAATTGAGAAGCAGGTAAGACGAGAAAATTTTGAAACAGTGAAGCAGATAAAATCAAAATACAGCAGAGACTGTGGCATTACTTTTGAAATGCTGATAGAAAGGGAATATAGCACGTTGGAGGAGTCGAACAAGGTTATATAGCTGCCTGGACGAGGGAATAGCTGTCACAGGACTGGAAGAAGGCAATCATACCACAATGTAATTTGGATAGAAAGGAGTGCAGTCACTAATTACTCGAGGGGGATAACTGATGAGCATTCCAGGTCAGGTATTTACCAGAATATTGCCAAATAGAATAACGCTAGAATATACACTTCATGGAAAATGAGTCACTTAAATCATGGAGGGGACAACTGATAAAGTAGAGTTAAGATTATGGGGGAGGACCTTTGGATTTCCTTTCGAGATTTTAAGCTAATTCATGATGCCGTCTGCGAACTGCTGGGCTGTAATGGTATTCTCCATAAGATAATTCGGATGATTTAAAACTTGTATGACAGGTCTTAATCCTGGTTGTGAATAGGTGATGAGACATTAGAGGGATTTGGGTTAGGACAGTTGTTGGCAAAGGTTGTGTATTCTCACCAACATTGTGTAATGTTGTGCTTGACCATACATTTACAAACACCATGAAGAGTGTTAGGAGTGTATAAAACCCAGGATTCCACACAGGTAATATGAATGTGCAATACTTTGGTGTATGCACATAATGCAGGTCCGTTGATGAGGACCTTGGCTTGAGCCATACGGTCTGGACACTGAAGTCTTAAAAGCAAGGTTTCCTGAAACAAAATTTATGTAATTGGAAATGGGGTGCCTGTATTAGGATCTCAAGCCATATTCGGATGAGAGAAAGGTGATGTGGTCGTGGACTACTTATGCACTCATAGGTCAGAGTGTGAAAAGGGGTATTTGAGGTGGGAGTGCACTCTGCATTAGAATGTGGATAGGAGATGTATTGGAACACAGGTGTCTGCTTTTCTGGCAAGACAGGATAATGCAGAAGTACAGAAGAGAACATGGCAGGTAAGCGTTGTAGATGTGTTGAATTTAAATCAAACGTTGGTCTAGTTGGTCAAAAGCTCCACCAATCTACTTACAGGTCACATTCAAGCATGACCATTCGACGCAGTTGGTGCAAGATGATCAGGTGAAGGGTTCAATTCGGGTAAGTGCTCGCACAACTGCACACATGAGTTCACGGCCACTGCTCTTTTAATTATGAACTTGGAGGAAGGCTGGAATTCTGGTGCTGCATTACTGTGCCCTGTAAATGTTGAGCCAAGTCTTTTGCCAAGAGTAAATCATCAGTGGTGGCATCTTTGTTTTTTTATTGTCAAAAACATATTTTCCTCTGGGATCTTCAAGGGCTTTGTGACATTTACAATAATGTCTTTGGAAAAAGTTGTCTTTTTAGAAAATGTACTGCCATTTGGAAAAAAAAAATATTTAATGATTTTGTTTGTATCTCAAAATGGAGTTTGTTGACGAAAATTTACTTTTGCCAGTTTTTATTCTTTTTGTCAGTATAAAATTACCTTCAAGACTTTTTTTCCTGACCCAGCATGACACCTGTGTATAGCTATAGATTGTGTTACATTTTTTAGGGTAAACTTGGACATATGCAGTGATGTGTTTTGTAGAAATGTTATTTCACTGTCACTTGCACCTTCAAGACCATGTTTGTGGCACTGTTTTAACGCAGTGCTGAAGCAGGTGAATCTGTAACCTCTTGCCCTTCTCATTTTGAATTTATGTTATCTGTGTCGCTGCCTATTAGGCGGTACTTGAGAAAGAAGGATCTCTGTTAAGGTGCCTCTGTTTGGAATGTTTAATTGTCCTTTAGGTTGGTGCTCTTGTGGAGGTCAAGGTGAATGAGGGAACTACTTTCCAGGAGGCTGTGATAAACAAAATAACAGATGCCAGCTGGTACACAGTCGGTGAGTGTCACTCTTACATCCTTCCTAAAGGTGGATGTCATTAGCACAACATTGTGTGTGTGTGTAAAATACTGCCTTTTAATACAGTAATTTCATTTTCGAATACATTTTGTGAAATATCTATGAAAGGCGCCTCCATTTTGATAGAATATTCATATGTATAAACCAGCACAAATGTAAATGCAACCACATGTTAGACATGTGAGCTTACACCCATGTGCTCATGTTATAACACACGTTCAAATCACACTTGTAGAGATATTGTTACAAAAAATATATGAAAACACGTTTGTAAATGCTTCATTGTATATCTTGCTTATTCTGTGTGGTAAGGTTTTGTAGTTCATATTATGCATGGATGTAGTGTTTCCCAGGCATAGCAATAAGTAGTCTATCAAAAATATACACCCTTAAAATAGCAATTATACATTTAACAGAATGCAAATAATCAGTTGATGACTTTTTTTACAAAGTTATTTCTATAAAATGTGTATTTGAGCATGTGTGTGCAAATGTTTGACGTCTACTGCGCAAAGGTTGTGGCAATTATACTTATTGACTTGAGTTGCTCTTCTGTTTGTTGTTGTGAACATGTTTTATATAATTTAATATCATTGGGAAATGTGCCATATTTCTCAAACACAGTTGCAAAATACAAATCTGGTTTCAGAATGCCTGTAGTTATACAATTTAGTGGCATTTTTATAATTTGCTTGACATTTCATTGTCTAAGGGTTACATTTTTAACAATAGTTTTTGTTACTTTTTTATAGTATTCTGAAATATTTGGTAATAGGAATGCAGCATGCCCAAGCCCACATCTTTACCATAGTTCATTGTTAACTTTTTTATATTTCCATCGTCTTTCATGCATCAAGTATTTACTTGTTGCAGTCAGAAGACTCCCCATTAATAGTACATCACAGTGCTCTCTAACCACTGGAGGCATTTGGGAAATATACATTGATGAAAATGACAGGTTAAAAAAATTCAGTGATTAATTATAACCCTATTTGTATTAACTAGTGCTCAATTTATCAGTTTTGCCTGCATTTGCTGCAATATTTCACAGTTTCCATGCTCAGTGTCATCATATAAGTTCAGTGCTTGGTACACTGAGGACAAGTGATGATGGTAATGCAGTAAGTGGTGATGCAAACCTAATGGAGATTAAATGACCTGGCCTATTGATAACGCCACCCAAAGCAGAGGACCAAATTAATGTAATTTGCAAATGTTGACGGTAAGCGGCTTTTGCGAGCTGTGTTGGTTGATAAGTGATAGTTGCAGTTTTTAGCGCACATCCTTTTGATGTGTGCAAATGCTCAGCAATAAAATGATCATGTTAAGCTGCACAGGTTGACAAGTGTCAAATTAACAAGCTACTAAGCTCCTACATAGAAGGCGTCTCCATTTTGTTATGGGATTCAACTGTACAAAGAATAGTGATTTGAGGTGTGCAAGAATAACCCCATGTGTGCTCACATTCTGGTGCGCACAAGCTAAGCATGCTGGTATGCAGCACATTTATATTTTAAATAAACACTTTTTGATAGTATTTCATTGCCAGTCTTACAAAATTATGCAGATGTAGGCATTGGTATTGGTAAGCTGTGGTAAGTTTAATAGTGACTGGCTTCAGAGGTTTATAGTTTTAATAAAAAAACAATGAAGTATCCTTGCAAGTATAGATGGACGATTTTCTGGGCTCTTGCAAATAATGCAACCTTCAAGACTAGCTGAAAATGCTGCCTTGTCAAAGCTTGCTTTGTTGACAAAAAGGCTTCATTGCAACCATGTGAAATCTCCCTTGATGATTTCCTGGCTGTTTGGAAGCCCAACAGTGATATACCAATTAACATGTACATATCAAGCTATTGGAGGATGTTGGCTTGCAAAATGAAATCGGAGTTCTTTTAGGGCTTGCAACACAATGAAGACACCTTTAAACATAATCGTCTAATCTTATGTGCCGTCATTTTTGTTAAAAATGCTGTTCTGCTGAAGGGGATGCAGATGTCTAACTGCTCGGTGCTTATTTAAATTGGATAGTTAACTTAATCGTCTTGCTGGTATGGTTGTAATTTTTATATATATTATACGGTATTTTTATTTTTGGAATGCAGTTCTCAATGTTGGCACACTAAAATGTATGGGCTTTACAGATAACTAGCATTGTAACCCAAGAAGGAAGTTGCTAAACCACTTTAGCCCTTGAAAAAAGAATAGGCATTACACGTCCAGGCAATAATAACTGTTAAGATTTTTAAACACCTATTCCAAAGCATCAAGGCTGCATTAACCACACATGCTTTTGCTAAAAAATGCAAACAAACACTTTGATAAAGTATGCATTGTCCTTTGAACTGATTGGCCGACACCAGGGTCCCATAGACACTTTAGCCCTTGTCTAAATACGTACCTGAAATACTTAGTTGTATTTATATCAACAAATATAAAATCAGTGCTTTTCAGTGAAGCCTTCCAAAGATGTGCAGGGCATGGTCACGGCGGTATGAAATTAATGTTCTGTATTAATCAAATCTGTGTACCAAAAGGCTTTGTTTGGCTCTTTTGGTTAACCTTGCTGTTGGGTTACACACCCAAGAACAAACCTAGTTTTCTGCAGATTGCTGCTAACACTTGCACCACGTGGTAGTTTCCTTTGGTATCCGCAGATATAGTCTGCTTTTACGGAGTGAACTGGTTTTTATATTAGGATGTTTTTTTCTTTCTGCCTTGCTCATACATTTTAAGCAATTAAGTTATTTTTCACTTGAGTAAATTATTCAGATTTTTGCTGTTGCACACTTCTAGAGAAAATGAAATACATGGGTATTTCAACATGGTAAAATTGTTGGTTTGTGAACAATGATTGATGATGCTGATCTGATTGGGTGTAATTTCCAGTATTTATTGGATGTCTTTTAATTGTCATTGTGAAGTTATGATTTTATTCAGAAGTACATTTTTTCACCATGTCATGATACATTTGTGGATGCGGGGTTTCCATGGACCAGCAGGTTTCCTCTGAACCAATCACAAAATCAAAATTGAAAATAGTTAATGTGCATACACATGATATGATGCATGTATCATAAGTGTAATAATTGATATTCATCAATTTGTCAATTAATAGTACAAATAGTGTTTTGGGTTTTAAGTAGTAGCCAAATAATACATTTATTTCTCACTATATCGGGAATGTTGGTCCATTGTGATGCAATGTCAAGTTCTACTACCTCAATGTGTAGCAACTGTTGCAAAGGAATTACATGATGATGTTGGTGTAAGATGTATAGGAACTCAAAGCAATAATCAGAATCGCTACTATGAAGACCTTGGGGGAATATTACTGGCTTCCTGGTGACAAATGCTTGGTATTTTTAAAGATGATCTTGGCAGACTTAACAGGACATGGGCAGGTCCCTAGTGTGAAACACAAAGCACACATCCATGCTGCATCACTTGTTTTAAACTACCACAAAGCAACCTGTTGGATTCAACAACAAAATTGTCGGTCCATTTTTATAGGACGTTAGACTGAAGTACTGACCTCCCAGATGAGTGATGTCTGCAGTTGGTTACTGCTCTGTTGTTTTGCCATTTTCAAATTGAGCAACTGCTTTGAGAAGTTAGTTTTACTGCCACAGTGTGTGTTGTGTATTTGTGGTGGGAAGTGTACTGGCAGGAAAGCTAGGTCAGAAATATGTGCCCTTATAAGGTGTGTTATGTGCATGTCCTTTGACAGTGTTTGACGATGGCGATGAGAAGACCCTGCGGAGGTCGTCACTCTGCCTCAAGGGCGAGAGACACTTTGCCGAGAGCGAGGTAGGTGGGCGGTTGCATATAGTCACATCAGCGTAGCATCGCTTCTCGCTTTGCAAACAGTTAAGCAGCGAAGCTTCGTTACCTGGTCCGGTGGCCCGCTCAGAGCTAATGTGCATTTCCTGTCCTACTGAGCATTTTTTAAAATAAATTGTTCCCGACATCGTCATGAATATTTAACAACCCTGATGTGTGAATTAAAGTTATTGGGCGAAGCGCAATTTTCTCAAACGGAGGAATGGCGCGATGACCGTTGTGCTATAGCTTCTTCGGCAAATACCAACTGCAAGTGTTTTGGGTAGTGTATTCTACTCCTGTAATTGCCTGACTATTCAATTTCAAAATTAGGCAAACCACAAAGAAATCTAAGTCACTGGATGAGTTTAAAGTGTAACAGAAAATGTTCACATGATGTGAAAAAGATTGTGAATATATTGGTTCGAAAATTGTAGGATTTATTCTTCAATTTTGGACGTGCACTAACTTGTGTGGATAATTGCTTTTAATTGCACCATTCCATTCTGTAATGTTTTTGGCAGACACATTCTGGTCAAAGGTGGTGTTAACAGTTTAGTAGTGACATTTATAAAAGTGTTTGCTTTATTCCCTCCATTACCACCCCATCATCCCTGATATCTGAAGACCCTGGACCACCTGCCTCTGTCAAACCCAGAACACTTTGGCACTCCGGTCATGGGAAAGAAGTCGAATCGTGGCCGACGCTCCAGCCCTGTTGTGTAAGTTAACTAATTTTGTTTATTCCTGTGAATCGGATTCCTTTTATGATCAGGGCAGTTTATACAGGTATGATGACGGGCGATGACAATACACAATTCTGCGTGTTTTATTGACTTTGTTAATTTTGGGTTTCAGAATTGGCAGTTGAATGTGTTTTTTTTTATTCAGCAGTGGTTGGGCATAAATTGGTAGCAATATTCATAGGTTGAATATGGTTTATTGTCTCAACCAAAGTGGTCCTATTGGATAAGTCGGCCTATTTTTTTATTTATTTATTCCTTGGCTTTTTCACTTATGCGTTCATCGTTGTCGAGCACTATTGGTGATCTCCCTTTGCTTGAGTTTGGATAAACTGCACATGTGAAATCCCAATCAAGCTGACAACGTTTGGAAGCCAGTTTGTCTTTTTTAATCTTATTTTTCCTTCAAGTGCCTATTGCAGAATTGTCTTAGGATGTTTATTAAATAATTATGTTTAAATATTGTGACAGCTGTGCGGACGTGTTTTATAAATGACTAGAAAGGCTCCATTCAGACAAAAAGGCCTTACCTTCACGTTAATTTGGCAAAAAGGAACAGACCTGAATGTTCTTCTTTGGTTCTTTCGGTAAAGTCACGTAGAATGAGACTAAAATAATAAAATAACACAATAAAATTCTCACGACGGTGCTGTCGTGAGAATTTTATTGTGTTATTTTGTTATTTTATTCTCATTCTACGTGACTTTACCGAAAGAACCAAAGAAGATGAATCCTTGCAGTCACGAAAGCTTCAAATCGAAAGACCTCAATGTTGTTTGCTTTTATAGTCATTAACATTTTTGACATCCAGTGGATGTATTTTTTGTAAATAATTTTAATTCTAATATGTAATTGGTTTCACTTTCATCCCCACATCTCCTGTAATGTGAAGAATTCATACTTGTGTGTCATCCAAAATGAACCTCTTGGCATGCACAATATTGACTGGAGTTGAGGAATAAACTCGCCTATCACATCTATCCTCATCACAAATGTGCTCGTATCCTGCTTACAGATGTTCAACCCAAATTGTAAACATTGCCTTGATTCATTAGGCTGTCACCATGTTGCACCTATATTTGATACATATCTCTCGTCTTAACATTCTCATGGATAAAACTGCATTTTTCTCCTGTTGTAATGTGCAGTACCCCACGATCTTTGATCATCGAATTCAACTACCATCTTTTGGCAAAATCTCGTAACAAAAATATGGCCAGTGAGGATCCAGGATAATCAATATTCACTATGTATATATACAGTGAGGGGAAAAAAGTATTTGATCCCCTGCTGATTTTATACGTTTGCCCACTGACAAAGAAATGATCAGTCTATAATTTTAATGGTAGGTTTATTTGAACAGTGAGACAGAATAACAAGAAAATCCAGAAAAACGCATGCCAAAAATGTTATAAATTGATTTGCATTTTAATGAGGGAAATAAGTATTTGACCCCCTCTCATACAGAAATATTTCTGGCTCCCAGGTGTCTTTTATACAGGTAACGAGCTGAGATTAGGAGCACACTCTTAAAGGGAGTGCTCCTAATCTCAGCTTGTTACCTATATAAAAGACACCTGTCAACAGAAGCAATCAATCAGATTCCAAACTCTCCACCATGGCCAAGACCAAAGAGCTCTCCAAGGATGTCAGGGACAAGATTGTAGACCTACACAAGGCAGGAATGGGCTACAAGACCATTGCCAAGCAGCTTGGTGAGAAGGTGACAACAGTTGGTGCGATTATTTGCAAATGGAAGAAATACAAAAGAACTGTCAATCTCCCTCGGCCTGGGGCTCCATGCAAGATCTCACCTTGTGGAGTTGTAATGATCATGAGAACGGTGAGGAATCAGCCCAGAACTACACGGGAGGATCTTGTCAATGATCTCAAGGCAGCTGGGACCATAGTCGCCAAGAAAACAATTGGTAACACACTACGCCGTGAAGGACTGAAATCCTGCAGTACCCGCAAGGTCCCCTGCTCAAAAAAGCACATATACATGCCCGTCTGAAGTTTGCCATTGAACATCTGAATGATTCAGGACAACTGGGTGAAAGTGTTGTGGTCGGATGAGACCAAAACAGAGCTCTTTGGCATCAACTCAACTCTTGTGTTTTGAGGAGGAGAAATGCTGCCTATGACCCCAAGAACACCATCCCCACCGTCAAACATGGAGGTGGAAACATGCTTTGGGGGTGTTTTTCTGCTAAGGGGACAGGACAACTTCACCGCATCAAAGGGACGATGTACGGGGTCATTTACCGTCAAATCTTGGGTGAGAACCTTCCCTCAGCCAGGGCATTGAAAATGGGTCGTGGATGGGTATTCCAGCATGACAATGACCCAAAACACACGGCCAAGGCAACAAAGGAGTGGCTCAAGAAGAAGCACATTAAGGTCCTGGAGTGGCTTATCCAGTCTCCAGACCTTAATCCCATAGAAAATCTGTGGAGGGAGCTGAAGGTTCGAGTTGCCAAACGTCAGCCTCGAAACCTTAATGACTTGGAGAAGATCTGCAAAGAGGAGTGGGACAAAATCCCTCCTGAGATGTGTGCAAACCTGGTGGCCAACTACAAGAAACGTCTGACCTCTGTGATTGCCAATACGGGTTTTGCCACCAAGTAGTAAGTCATGTTTTGCAGAGGGGTCAAATACTTATTTCCCTCATTAAAATGCAAATCAATTTATAACATTTTTGACGTGCGTTTCTTTGGATGTTTTTGTTGTTATTCTGGGTCTCACTGTTCAAATAAACCTACCATTAAAATTATAGACTGATCATTTCTTTGTCAGTGGGCAAACGTACAAAATTAGCAGGGGATCAAATACTTTTTTTCCCTCACTGTATGTATGTGGAACTTTTTTCGCACCGTACATAGCCAACCGTGCTTATCAGAGTTTACGACATTTTTTTGGAAAATCAGGTTAACTTCTATTGAATGTCTCGTCACATAATGAAAATGCCCTTGAACCAGCCACTCTTATTGGTCCATATATGGAAAACTGCCCAATGGCTTCATGAAATTGTAATTGGAAAGACTTATGTTTTGCACGCAGTCCCAATGAAGAGGAAGAGGAGTCATCTTCGTCAGAAGAAGAAGACGAAGACCAGAAAAGGATTAATGATGACCTCTTGGGCAAGGTGATGGCGGTGGATTCGGTTGGAGGAGAGCGCAAGTGTCGTGGCTTCTGTCCAGTACTGGTGGGTGCACTACCAAACATTCATCCTGGCACACCCTGAGAACGCCATGGCTTACTTCACAAGTCTGCCAACTTTTCCATTTTTGCATCATGTTTGACATCATCAGTCTATAAACTCGTGACATACTCACTTGCAATATGGATTATGTGTCAATAAAAGTTTGAAAAGTGCACATTCACTGAAACTTCAAAGAACACCTAATCAGCTTAAATGTGTTGAAGTGAAGTGTCCAATTTTTTAAAGTAAATTGCTGTGTGGGGCTTTGTGGTGCTGCACAAAATAAAAAAAATAATGAAGACCTATTTCAACAGTAATCCACAGAGTAAGTAAAATGTAAAGCTAAAGAACTTGAATGAAAAAAGTGGCTCTAGGTGTGCTTAAAAACCTAATTCTTTATTGTGGATAGTTTTTTTGCTTCGATTTATTTTACGTACTGTGCCTTGCAAAATCAAAGGACGGTGTGCTTGTGTTGCAACCTCTTGCTTACATCTCATTTCCAGGTTGTGTCGCCAGCTTGCAGTGATGAGCTGACGGTGAAAAAGGACTTCTGTCTCGTGCGCTCTTTCAAGGATGGGAAGTTGTAAGTGCATATTACTGTGCCTCTGGAATTTCATGCTGTTATTCTCAAAATTACTGACTTATAATGACTGACACTTTGTCTTTTCCCCAAATTGTATCCTGACGTGCAATTGCCATCATGTCATGAGATGAAGAATCCGTTCAGAAGTTTTGCTAAGCGGTGGTCTGCAGATGGATATACATAACTCCTCCTGAGATCTCAAATTATAGTCGATGGGAGATATTTTAGGGTTGTTAAACGGTAATTATTTTCATAATAGGGTACCAATTCCGTATATAAGGAATCCGTATTGATTACATTGTAAGTTTAGCAAGGAATGCAACGATTGGCACATGCGAACGTTCAAACAGCACAGCGTGTACGACTGATTTCTCAGCGTCTGTCTTCTTAAATCACCAGCAGCAGGCCTAAGTTGCGGTGTGGTACATTTGCCCTCATTTCTCAGTTTTCGCAGCCCTGCAATCGCTTGTTCGTGCCACTCCTGGCAAAGGGGCCTCCACCCAATTAGACAACTCGAGATGGTAATTTGTATACTCTTCCACACTGACCATACGTTTTGGAAGAGGTGCGTACCTACTCTTTACCCAACAGAGAATATTTAAGAGACTTGCCCCATTGCTTCCACTGAAGTGTTGTGAGACGGAATTGAACAGGCATCCTCTGGATTGAAAGTCCAGGATGCTAACCATTATACCCCGGCAGCTCCCTTAGTTTCTCAGTTCAAAGGGTAAATATGTTATAATCGTTGATAAACATTTTATATGCATGTGACAAACCATTTACCAATTTTTACCATTTGAATGCAATTACCATTAATGTAATAAAAATTTAAACAACCCTCATGTTTTTGTGCAGTCATTGGAAATGTGCTGAGACCATCAACTCACTAAGTTTAAGAACCTGGTTTTATCACGGACAGCTGCCCAGATTCGTATCTAGGAACTCGGCGCTGCCAGTTCAATGCTCTAATCTTTGAGCCACTCGGCCACCTTAAAAAGATTGTTATATAGAAACCTCACAATACTGTCATTTACATATTGTTACTTTAGGGTGCTAGTGTGTAAAAAACGTAATGCATTCATAAATTAAAGTGTAAGTCTTGCATGATGTGATTCTGCAGTCACGTGGTTCTGAGGAGCGACCTGAAAGAGCTCAACTTGGACTCGGCGCCCAAATTGGAACCGTCACTAAAGTCGGCGCTTGAAAGCGCGCTGGAGTTCAGGGAGGCGCTGATGGTGCCTCCATGCTGGCGGTCGGAGCTGAGTGAGGACAGCTCCACCGAGGAGGACCCGGACGATAACGACGGCGCCGCTGACGAAGAAGAAGACGATGATGGCGGAGGTCGTGGCAGCAATGGGAGCCGTGCCCAAGGCGACAAAACCGAGGTAGGACCGCTGCTGGTGTTTCGCATCGTCTCTTGGGGGTGATTTAACAACAATAAGTTAACGTTATAAAGAATCTAAATGCAATCACATCTCGTAGCACTCTTTTCCTTGGTATTTGTTTTGGCAATCTCAACCTCAATGTCATCTTAATTTGTTTTGTCTTTTTGTCCAAATTCTATTTTTGATATCGGTGTCATGCAAGTGATATGAAGTATCCATTCAGAATTCACATTCCCACACCCCTTTTGAGTCAAAGAACTGTCTCCAGAAGGATATATAGACTGCTTCCGAAATGCTTTGAAGTTACTATACTTAATCTATGGGCACACTTTTACACACCCTCCTGCAGATAAATATTTGTTGCATGCCTTGTACGACAGTAAACAGATTTGTTTAATTGTCGGGCCTGGCCTTTTAATCAAATTAAGCGCAAAACTAAATTTAATGTGATTTGTTTGAGCCGTCGTAGGTGACTCTTTAGACCATCATCCCAATGCACTTAAGAACCTGGTTTAATCACAGATGACAACTCAAATTTGATAACAGGATCTTATCAGTGTTGACTTAGTGCTCTGACCCCTGAGTTACCTGGCCAGCTCTTGTGACGCATTGCATTTATTCCCAGGCATCTGCCTAATTATAATTCATGGTTCTAATTTATAGCGAGTTTGACATTGTCAGACTGGTCACCAAGAATTGCTGAAAAGCTTATACCTTGTTCTTTCAAGCCCAAAAGTAACGATCTGTTTTAACAATAAGACACTCAAGCATTCTATATATATCTGTATCCACAATGATGATTGTTAGCACTAACCACAGATGTTAAGAAAGCATATTTTTTTCAATTTAATGTCATTATAAAATAACTTTTAAGGCTAATGACAATTTAAATAACAGTTGAATGTACAGTTGATAAATTAGGTATTTAGAAGATTGTTGATTGTAGGAACTACTTTTGAAAAGGCACATTGATTCCATGTCGCAAAGATGTTGATGGGGGGGCAAACTGTTGATTTGTTTTGTCTAAATGTAACACTACACAGAAAGTTTTAAAGGGAATGCAAAGTACTGATTAAACTGTACGGCAGTTGAATATATAATTTTCTTTTTAATTATCAATGGCTTGCCGCCTTCCAAGAACAATTCCTAGAGCGAATGTCTGTTAATGCTTGATTCACCTGCCTGCGGGGTGAAACTGATGGTGAGCGCATGACTGCTGTGATCCGTAACTATGCGCAAATGCCAAGATAAGGTGTCGCATTTCTCAGTTTATTAACATAATGGAAACATTTCGATTTAAAGCTTTCGTGACTGCAAGGATTCATCTTCTTTGGTTCTTTCGGTAAAGTCACGTAGAACCAAAGAAGATAATAGAAACACTGTGCGTGGAAAATACACACCATGGTGCCGTTCAAAACAAGCAAGTTCCTTATTACGGAAAGATTTTCCGTCCACAGATTTCGGGTCAAATTTTGGAATAAGTTTTGGCACGCCAAAAGCGTTGTGGTGGTATGGAGCAGGAATGTAAAATGTGCAAGCCATTTTTTCTACTTTGTAGCCTGAAGAGGAGCCAAACCCTGAGGAAAAGGAGAACTTTCTGCAGCAGCTCTACAAATTCATGGATGACCGAGGTAATGCCCTGTTTTTGTTGTAAGGTCTTTAAAAATTAAGACTCGGTGTGGATAAATTGTTTCCCTGTTTTTCCACAACATCATTTTTTTGTTTCAAATAAACGTTTTAAAACTAACATTAAAAGTAATGTTTTGAAAGTTTAGCTTTAGCTGTTACAAAACATTGCAAGGGATGATGTTGATTTTTTTTGTTGGATTTTTTGTTGGATCTGTTCATGGTGAGCCATTTTTACACGGTATTCCTTCAATAGGTTCACAGAGGCTGTTTTGTTTTATTTGCTGCAGGAACACCAATAAACAAAACCCCATTTCTGGGTTACCGGGTCCTGAATCTCTTCAAGCTTTATCGGCTGGTTCAGGAGCGGGATGGCTACATTTGTGTAAGAATAGTGCACATGCAAACATGTATCCCTTCCTCCATGCACAATTGTATTCCTTGCAGCATTCAATCTTTCAGGTTACAACTATTGATGGAATAAATTATCGCCCATTTAAAAAAAAATGCATTCATGTTATACTTTTCCACTACTGTATAATTGTATATTGCTGTTTGCCGCGATTTTTTAGAATTAATTTTTAAAGGAACAACATTCCTGTTAACATGACTGATTAAGAAAATGCATATCTCTCCAATGGTCTGTACACACCTTGGCTTGCAGATTGATAGTGGTACAGTATGGAAACTCATTTACAAAGAGCTTGGACTCCCGATTCTGAACTCTGCAGCGTCCTACAACGTGAAGACTGCATATGGAAGGTGTGACTTTGCAGATACTTGAAGTGATGAATAATTTAACTTGTGATCAAACTAATTACTTTTGAAGTGTCTTTTCAGAACTCTGATATGACTTACTATATCAATCAGCCTTTCAAGTTTTGATTTAGTTACAGGCGATTACTTGGCCCAGTGGTTGCGCTTTCCCCGCTTTTTACAGAGGTTCATGGTTTGAATCCAGCGACCATCCTCATCTTGTCACTAACCATCAATATATGTGCCATCTGCTTCAGAGTGGACGTTAAAGATCCCCGACCTAATTCGCAAGAGTAGGCCATTGTGTGCCAGGGTCATGGATCAATTTTCCAAATTTAAAAGTTACCCAGAAATTACAATTTCTACCCTACTCCAAAAACTTTGCGAGACTCTCTTGAAAAAAGGTCATGAGACTCGGGCTTTCCTGGGTAAACGAGCGTTATAAATGTTTGTTATCGATATCTATTAAAAAATACTGTAATATGGTTAAGAAAATTATTGGATTTTAATTTGAAATATTGTTGACATTACAGCTAGCTTTTGCTGACGTAGTTTGCATGGAATTATCTTAGAAAGGTTGCTTACACATTTCTACTTAAAATACATGTGAATGTTTAATTCTAAGTTAAGGGTTTTTATTGATTATGGCTTGTTTTTTTGTCAATGTCCAGTTATTTCGAATGTAAGTATTATAAGTTATAAAATACAGGGTCCCCACACATGTGGTTTCACGGTTATCAATATCCACATTGCGCAGATACCTGTATGGATTTGAGGAATACTGCAAGTCTGCTGGAATCAGATTCAACTTATCGCTGACCTCCGAGCCTAAGGCAGAAGAACCGAAACAACAGCAACAGAAGCCACAACAGCCGAAGCAGCAGCAAAAGCAGAAGCAGCAACAGAAGCAGCAGCAACAACAAAAACAGGAGGCGCAAGCAGAGGAAAGACTGGACACCAGCAAAGAACTGCTGCAAAAAGATTCAACCCCCATAGTGAAGGTAAGATGACAGGTCTTGTTTTGACAGACCTCAGTCTGCCACAAATGCACATTTTTGAAGAGAATCACAGTATTCTTTGACGGTGAAGCTGGAGGCTTATATCTGTCTCTGCATTTGCCTACCCATTTATCTTTGTTCCAAGAAGTCAGACAAGCAGCCCGTCGAGGAGAAAGAAAGGCCACCGTCACCTGTCAAGTCTGTCAAGGCGGTCAAGTCGGTCAAGTCGGTCAAGTCGGTGGAGCCTGGGGAAAACAGCACCGCGGCCAAAAGCACAAAAGAAGATGCATCATCCAGCTCTGAGAGTGAAAAAGAAGATGAGGTGGCCAAGCCTCAGAGAGTGAGCATATGCTAGGACGTTTAAAATGTGCCTTTTAACAATAATGATGTGTTTATTGTCATTTTCAGATGTATATATATTGTCTGTCCTTGGTGTTTTTATTTTTAAATCATCTTGCTTAATAGACTAAAACATTTAACATTATGCCTACAGTAGAACCTATGTGTGTCCGAAATACAGTGTCTGGGGTGAAGAGGGCAAAGCTTTCACGAGAGCAAAGGCTGTTGTTATATTTGTAAAAAAATAACTTTTTTTTGCGAAGCGAGGTTATGAAATGGCATCAATGGTAAGTGCATCCAGCTTGGTGTTGTCTGGTAGATGACATTTTAACCGGGCGGATGCTGTACACTGGAAGAACAGACTTGCGGGTCATTGTTACAAGCGCGTCCATTTTGCAGACGTGTGTGCACTGCTGAGATCGCGTGACTGCCGCGCTGGGGAGGCAGCTCGACTCGCTGGTCACACGGCCAACAGCCACGCTGCGGGTTTCAGCCCAGACACATGGATAGTGTGGATTCACACGTACGCGGTACTCGGATATGCAGGGTTCTACTGTGCTTGCTGTTGCCGCGTGGGTGATTGTTTTTTGTCCATACATTAAGAAATAGATTTCAAATATTGAAGGGATCTTCTGTTCTTCATCGAAATCCATGGCGAATGCCTCTGGTCAAAGCATTATATATCGGACATTTTTAAATCTGAACTTGAAACACCAGAACACTGGTGGAATGGGCTCTTGAATTTATATTTTTATGCAAAACCCTTCGGTCTAAATTTTCACTTGAAGCTTTTTAAGTATTGCGATGGCCTTCAATTGAACGTTGTTCCTGCCAAACTTTGTTTACCAGGGTCGTCGGAGGGTCATGCGAGACATCCCTCCGCGTAAAAGCATCACGCCCCGGGAGTCGAAGAAAGAGGGCAAACCGGAGAAGGATGAGGGTGTCCGGGAAGACAACAGCCAAGAGCAAGACAAGGACAGCTGTCCAACCCCTCCTACGGCTGCCGTCTCCACTGTGCCCACCGCCGCACCGGCCGCTGCTCCGATTGAGAACGCGGAGGGTGCCAAGGGGGAGAGCGACAAACCGGTGAGGCTGGTGGAACCTTGCGCAGCCACGGGTGACCCGGCCGGAGATGAGTCCCAGGTGAAGGAGGAGGAGTGCAATTCAAGCATCGCCGATAGCCAGAGTGATTGCTGGAAATACCAGGAGGAGTCGGCGGACCTTGGTGCGGGGTCAAGCGATGTGACTTCTCCCAAGCAGGAGCTCAAGGACAAAGCAGATGGGGACATTTCTGAGTAAGTGTTTCCAAGCCAGGATATTGTGTGCTGGATTATTATTTCAAGTCCATTATTTTCAATTGAAAAAGTGTGAGTAGAGCCCAAAATGCTTGGACAAGGGATTTTAGGAAAAACAACGTTTTACTATCCTAATAGAATTTGAAGAATTTACATTCTCATACATTACTGATGTGACAGAAATATGGGCATTAACGTGAGTGGTTACTGTATTTGTTGGTTTTGTTGCCATTCGATCCACTTATAGCCCATTTATAATTTTCAACTTAGATGTGGAAAATGATATTAAAATGGTTAAACAAGTGTTTCTTTTAAACATTGGAATGAACCCACTGTTTTTAGAATTTTCACACCACTTCACATTACAGTAGAACCCCTCTTAACAATGGTAATTGGTTCCACGAAACAGGTTAAGTGATTTTGTCATTAAGCGAGTATAGGAAATGCATGTTAAGGGCTTAATTAGTTCCGACAGCATCGAAAGTTACCCTTTTTCACCCATGAACTGTACTTTCTAATATTTAAACAATGGATATGAATGCATAAAGATACTAACAACATTATAAAGACATCATTTTTAAAGACGCATGCTTAATCAATGCATTAATTCATATTTACTGTACCTACAACAGGTCATTGTTAACAGGAGGAATGGTCGGTAATCGAACCCATTGGGCTCTATGGAGGCCCGTCGTTAAGCGATTAGTCGTTAAAGGGGATGGTCATTAAGAGGGGTTCTACTTTATTACATATATAGTGGGTTCATTTGAGACACACACTTGACTTAGGAGGCAACACGTTTTTATTCTCTGACCACAACGGGGTAACTAAATACGTACAATAGGATAACTATATCGTGGTAACCACCACGGGGTAACTATATAACCGGGTCAGGTCAGTTAACACACTGCCTGACCCACAATGCCGAGCGTGAAGACCGGAGACCGAAGAAACGTAGCACGGCGGGTTCCATTCCAGGAGACAGCCCTGATTGACTCTCAGGACCTCCCTTTTACGCCCCTGAGCGTGGCCTGGCTCCGCCCTTGGCCACGCCCCCTTCTGGATCCTACCAGAAGGTTCTGGCCCATACACTACGTGTCACGTGTCCCTCTCGCCACCTTTGGCCCACATTCTTACCCTGTCCTGGTCAATTGCCCTCTCGGGCTCAACCAGACTGTCACGTCCTCAACTACCCTCTCTCTGACAGTCACCAGAAGCATACCCCCTAGGGCCCCCTTCCATGTCATAACATACTCTGGTGTCAGAGAGAGGCTCTAACACCCGCAGTTCCACTCTTCTATCAGTAGCTGGCACTAAATGCCGTAGTGACCCAATATACATCACTACACACAGGTCAACTAAATATGTGAGTTTATCTTGTCATTATATACTATTACCCCTGGTGTTCCCACTCATGTAAACCACACCACTTTTGAGAACCTAATTTAAAACTCAAAATTATCGCCTTCTAAATGAACAAAGAAAAGCTTCGTGAAGCAATGTGACGTGTTCTTTTGTTACAAGAACTCTAAATTAACTTCTGTTGAAACCACTCTGAATTTGGACAGCTGTGGGTGGTTAAGGCATGCTTCACAGGTTTCAGCGTTGAAGGAATAGGAGAAAGGAGATTCTTGTTGCCGGTGCTCCTCGCCAAACCGCTGCCGCTTCCACCATCGCATTTTGGTTCAGCAGCACGATGAGCGAGGGAGAGGAGGGCGTGGAGGAGCTGCTCGGATACCCACTGGGCACCAAGGTGCGTGTCAAATACGGCAGAGGCAAGAGCCTCAAGATCTATGAGGCGATCATCAAGGACGTGGACACGGAGGGCGAGGAGGACAGTGACGTCATCTACCTGGTGCACTACTACGGCTGGAACGTCAGGTCTGGTCCCCAGCCTCCACAGAGATGTGTTATTCTCACTGCATACATGCTTATTTATTCTCTTTGACCTGTGTATTTTAAAGGTGAAGAAATCATAACGGTAATACAGGTTTTTGGGTTAGATCGCGTAAATATAAATGTGTCGTTAAACCCGCCATCACCCGACATATTTACGTGATCTAACCGAAAAACCTCTATTATGGATAATATTGGTCACGAAAGCCTACCTGTCAAACAAATCATAACGGCTAATGCTACTGAAGCCACCACACCTCTTCATCGATTCCTTCTGCTAAAGGTTGCAAAGTTGGCACTCATTCTTCAAGATGACTGGCTGTCCAGTAATGGCTGATTATATATATTAGCCATTTATTTTCTGAGTTTCTCGCAACTTCTCATTCTCTCAATCCAATGTTTTGGCGTTATAAAATACATGAACCTTGGTTGGTTGACCACAGGGCATTTTTGCAACTTTGTATTATGACAAGATGGAATGGTCTTGTATGTGTTTTAACACTAACTGAAATTGCGACAGTTTGGTTAAGATAGGTTAGAGACATGTAGCCCAGGCGAAGTGAGTGATCCAACCTCCAGCATCATACACCCACAGAGACATTCTTTATCGACACAAACACGATTCAATGGATTACCCCCCCAAATAAATAATTAATCGCAATGACTGTTTTGAGACTGTAGAACTCGTTTAAGAGATGTCTTTCCCCGCCTCCTGTAGGTATGACGAATGGGTGAAGGAGGATCGAATCATAAGACCGGTGGACAAAAACATACCTAAAATCAAGCACAGGAGAAAAACTAAGGTATTTTTTTTTTACTTTTTATTTATGCATAACTGTACTTTTATTGCTTGATATTTGAAGGCGCTCTTATTGGCTAATTTGCTTTTGTTTTATTAATGTGTTCCAATGCAGCATCACCAAATAATTTGCTTGAAGTTGGTTAATTTCACAGAGTGGTGCTGTTAACTAAGAGTAATTAAGAAAAACATTAGGAAAAATATATACTAATTTAAAAATAACCAGAAATGTGTAACGAAGTTTCTGTTAAAATTCTGTAAACCAGAACAAAGCAGACCGGGACAAGGCGGAGGCCTTGAGGAAAGAGGAGAAAAGACAGGAGCCTGGTGTGGGCCGTGGGAGGCGTGGGCCGGTTTCCGGGAAGTCCCCACCCGGTTGCATCACCCCACCTCTACGCGGAGGCCACCGTGGTGGGCACACCGGACCGGGGCGTGGCGGCCACCGCACCACGCGCAGCGGTGTGTCTCCGCTCACCAATGGGCACGAGGGTACGTGGCAAACGCCTTGGCCTGCGTGAGCATGTCACCTCACTTCCACACTCTTGCTGGACATTCCTCTGCCGCTGTAATGTGGGAGTCCCGCAAGGCCTTCGATTATATGTGGATGTCAACGTTTGTGTGCGCGAGAATGTTTTCCAGGCCCTATGCATTTTGTAATGGGGTAAATGTGCAATTTCTTCGAGCTTTGTCATCTGGTCCAGGAGAGGGGCGGCTACATTACTATCAGGGTAGTACACATTCAAATGTATGGATTTGAATGAGAGCTCTGCGGCTGAACATGGACTGAGATGTTAGCATGGGATAAAAAATAGAGGAAGGAGGAGAAGAGGCAGGAGCCAGGCGTTAGCCTTGGGAGGTGTGAGCCTTAGTGACGGTATTGAGATTCACATGAAATAGCTGAATTTATATATATAGTATACAGAATTTTAATACCAACAAATATTTGTTTTTCAGATATGCTGAATATTATGCGTTTACAGACACAGTATTCTGTGATTTTTTTGTGTGTTGTGATGCCATTTTAAACATTTTTTCAGGCATGCAACGCAGACACACACGTAGAAGTTCTGGTGTTGGGGACTTTGACAAGAAGTCTGATGGTTAGTCACTCATGCATTTAACTCTGTACAGGTGAAAAACCACTAGTTACTGGGGTTTTATCTTTCTGTACCATTTTTTGGTAAGGTGAGCCTCACAAGATACTTAGTGCCCGACTTGATTCACGATTTAAGCTGTGGTGGGATTCACTTAATTGGTGATATTTGCCATGGTGAATGTTGAACTAGCGGAGGACATTTTTCTCATTGCAGCTTCCAACAACTTCTCAAGTGATAGCGAAATGGACGATGAGAGTTCTTCAAACAGCTCTGAGCGGCAGGAGGTGGACGACGGTTTTGCAACAAGTCCCGATGCCACGATAGAAAAGGAGTCGGAGGAGGGTGCCGAGGAGAGCGATGTGCTGGTGTTGCTTGTTACGTCGCCGTCACAGGAGGGGCACGTGGCGGACAAGGATGAGACGGAGCCAGCGAAGTCGGCAGTGCCACAAGATGCAGAGGAATTGGGAGCTGTGGCACAACAGAGCAGCCCGAGGCAGCAGCAACAGAATGAGAAACTGCAGAAACAGCAGCAGCAGCAGGACCAGCAGCAGAAACAGCTGAAGCAGAAACAGCAACAACTGCAACAGAAGCAGCTTGAGCAGCAGCAGGAGGAGCAGCAGAAACAAGAGCAGGAACGCAAACAGGAGCTGCAGAAGCAGGAGATGCAGAAACAACTGGAGCAGGAGCAGAAACAACAGCAACTGAAGCAGGAGCAGGAGCAGAAGCAGGAGCAGGAGAAGAAACAGCAGCAACTGAAGCAGGAGCAGGAGCAGAAACAGGAGCAGGAGAAGAAACAGCAGCAACTGAAGCAGGAGCAGGAGCAGAAACAGCAGCAACTATTGAAGCAAGAGCAGAAGCAACAGGAACAGAAACAGCAACTATTGAAACAAGAGCAGAAGCAGCAGGAACAAAAGCAGCAGGAACAGAAGCAGCAACTATTGAAGCAAGAGCAGAAGCAGCAGGAACAGAAGCAGCAGGAACAGAAGCAGCAGGAACAGAAGCAGCAACTATTGAAGCAAGAGCAGAAGCAGCAAGAGCAGAAGCAGCAGGAACAGAAGCAGCAGGAACAGAAGCGACAGGAACAGAAGCAGCAGGAACTGAAGCAGCAGGAACTGAAGCAGCAGGAACTGAAGCAGCAGGAACTGAAGCAGGTACAGAAGCAGCAGCAGCAAATAAAGCATGAGCAGAAGCAGCAGGAGCAGAAACAGCAGCAGCAACTGAAGCAGGAACAGAAACAGCAACAGCAGCAACTAAAGCAGGAGCAGAAACAGCAGCAGCAACAACTGAAGCAGGAGCAGAAACAGCAGCAACAACTGAAGCAGGAGCAGAAACAGCAGCAGCAGCAACTGAAACAGGAGCAGAAACATCAGCAGCAGCAACTAAAGCAGGAGCAGAAACAGCAGCAGCAACAATTGAAACAGGAGCAGAAACAGCAGCAGCAGCTAAAGCAAGAGCAGGATCACAAACAGCAGCCGAAGGCACATCAACTACCGCTACAGCAACAACAAAAGCAAGAAAGTATCACGGGTGAACTTCAGCTCTCTCCAGCTAAAGAACCTGAGAAAGCAGCTGTCACTGGGCCAAAGTCAAGGGTCAGGAAGGAGCGCACTAGGCCAGATTCAGTCATGGAGGTGCTGGAGCCAGCACTGCCAGTCCTCGTAGTGTCGAGCGAGGAGGCGTCTGACTCGGGGGAAGAACGGAGGGTAAGCACGGAGACCGATGGGGAGGGCTGCCTGTTGGCTGTTCCCAGTGGGGAGACGTCTGCCTGTGAGGAGCAATCCTCGTTTCAGTTGACGCTGAAGAAGCCGGAGGAGCCAGAGGAAGTTTCGGAGCCCGGTGTTCAAAAGCCACAGAAAATGGTGACAAAACGGCGCAGCCCTCGCAGGTCGAGCACGTCCAGCAGTCAAGACAAGAAAGTGAAACTGGAAAAGGAGCATGAGGAGCCCACTGAACCCATGCAGGTGCAGGAAACGAAGGATGTTACAAGTCCAGAGCTTACCTCAAAGGGTATTGAGGCAGTTTCAGCACCCTGTGCGAGAAGGGAATTGGTCTCTGAAAGGCTTGTTGACAAATCATCTCTAACTACAGTAGAGCTACCTGACACCGCCATAAGGCCGGCACGGACAAAGGAAGAGGAGGAAAGGGAGCAGGATAATCTTGTCTCGCAAACGTTGATGGAGATATCCATGTCGGAAGCACCTCGGCAGGAAGTAACAATGGACCGGTCTGACGCACGGAGCGGTTTAGAGAGGCCTTCTAGTAGCCCCCTGGCAACACCGCTGCAGAGTTCCGCCTCGGCGTTTAGAGAGTCCATGCCTGCTGTTTCGGCCTCCCCACCGGTTTCCTCATCCCCCAGCACTCCGTTTATCACTCCACTCAGCACCCAGTTTAGTACCCCCTTCAGCACGCCTCTTACCTCTCCACCAACCACATCTCTTGGCACTGCCCGCAGCATGCACCCTGGCACACTCACCAGCACACCGCGTGGTACCACGCACACTGCTCCACGCGGCACTCTATTCGGCCCACGTTCTGGGACTCCACTCGGCTCGCTACTTGGCAGCCCGCGTGGTCCTCCCCGCGCTTCCCCACGAAGCCTTGCTCGTAGTGTCGCTGTGAGTCCGTCCCTGAACCCTCGTCCACCAGGCCCTCTGACTCCTTGCCTACCCTCATCTGTGGCCCCAATTTTCACTCCTCCCATGGTCCCGTCGCTCGTTTCTTCAATTCACTCTCCTATGACTGCCCCATTGGGTCCCAGAATGGGTCCTCGCTTTGCCTCGCCAACGTCCTCGCCTCCGTCTACTTCCTTCTCGTCGGCCACAGCACCTTCTCCCGCTTTGGCTCCTCCGTCGACACCTTTGGCCCCTCTGCCACCACCGCCGCTGCCACCTGCGGCTATTCCTGCCACCCCCGCGAGGGCATCGTCGGATGAGAGCCGGAGCTCGCCGAGCGGGAGTGGGACGGTGGCACATGTGGGCAGCCTTGCAGCACCACAGGGCACGCCCTCTGAAGACAATGCCTCACCCACCTCCTTCGATGAAAGCGTCAGCAATGGAGGCGGTGGCGGAGGCGGGTCCAGTTCTGCGGATCAGAAGGACCGAGGTGCGCATCACTGTACAGTAGAACCCCTCTTAACGACCACCCATGTTAACAACGGGCCACCATAGAGCCCAGTGTGTTCACTTACTGACCATTCCCCTGTTAATGACGGGCTGTTGTAGGTACAGTGAATAAGAATTAATGTATTTATTAACCATGTTTCTTTTAATATTATGGGGTTTATAATGTTAGTATCTTTATGTATTTATATCTATTTAAATATTCTAAAGTACGTTTTTTGGGTGAAAAGGGTAACTTTCGATGCTATCTGAACGAATTAAGCCTTTACTATGTATTTTCTATACTGTTGTTAAGAGGGGTTTAACTGTAATTGCTTTTGTCTTGCGGTACTTGTCACCGGTTCTGCACAAGCTGCTCGTACCCGCACTTGTTTATTTGTTATTAATAATTATTTTGACCTGCAGGATCACTGTGGTTAAAAACCCAGCGTGGAGCTATGACTTCTAAAGCAAGTTTATATATTATTGTTGCACTTGTATACCAAGGAATGCTACGCCCCATATCAAGGCACTATTTTAGGAGGGCCCTGTCAAGTTTTCACGCTAAAAGATATCTTGCTCTGTAATCCCAATTTAGTAATTTGCGGGTATTTTTGCAGCATTGGGATGTTTGGCCAATACCAATTCGATTGCTTTTTTTAGCTATGGGTAGTAAATTGGAGAACCAAAATAAAACCAACGCAGAACAGGGGCAGAACTTACAAACTCCAAGATATAGGCTATTTAATTGTTTATTCGAACATTATTGTTTCGTTGTATTTTTTGGTTGTACCAGGCTTGAAGAGATTACATGCCACAACCAGCGGAGGAACCACCAAAAAGCACAAGAGGAACCATAAACGGGCCAGTGCTAGCCACAAGAAGGACAAGCATGAAGCAGGTGAAGTAGTTTTCATGACTTAGCTGTGAACTGTCAAATATAAACATCCTGCATATGTGTACTATACTGTGTACACAAGTGCCAGATTCAATTTTTTTTACCAAGTGTAATTTTTTTGCTTAATTTCAAAGAATTCTTGCTGAAGTCTCCATTACCAACAATGTTGAATATCATCAATGCTGCTACTTCAGATTATTAATCTAGCCCTTCAAGTTTCATCATTGTTAGCTGCAGGGATACCATAATTTAAAACAATGAAAATAAAAATCTGACATTCAGTGTCAGTATCCATGTTATCTATGTAAATAAATATTTTTCTTGGCCCGAGCCACCAATGTCAAGATAATACAATCTTTTCCAACAGGCATCTCTGGAGGCGCCCTTACCACATTTTGAAGCATGTGAAAGTTCATATCAAGTACCGTCTGTAAAGTTTAGCTACAGGGTTATCAGAATTTTAAGCGATTTATGAATGTGTGTGGAACAGGTCACAGCAGTGACAGTGAGGACCTCCCAGCACTGAGCACTGGCAAGGTCTCATCACAGGCCGGCCACCATGGCACGCGGTCTCCCCGTGGCACCAAGTCTCCTGCGCACAGCTGCCCGCCCACCAGGGCCCACGGAGAGAGTCGCGTGGCCTGTAGCCCCCCACGGGCCGGCAGGTGGACCCTACTGCCCGGTAAGCACTGTCTGTTGTTAGGGCACTGCTTGGGAAGATTTCAGTTGAATTGTGGACACTGCTATATTGGCTATATGCGTACCTTGAATCATATTGGATAAAAGACAAAGGAAATTCAAACCGTAGGAGTGGGGCATTATGGGAGGATAGGAGCACAAGGGCCGTGAACTTCGACGACAACGACCCCCATCACTAGCACATGGTAAGGGATGGCAGAGAGAGAAATAATGTTCATTGAGAGAGACGAGACAGCAAAGGTATAAAGGGATTTGTCTATTTCTCGTAAATTGTGTCCCAATTTATTTCACCATACTTCACCACATTTGTCGGTGTGATTTGAAGGGGGAACATCTTTTCTAGCCTCTACTGTGATGGAGACCCCTGTCCACTATAACTACTTCATTAAAGTAGTATTCTTATATAGTACATTACAGGGTGAATTTTTAATTTACTGTAAAAATAAATGATTCACACAAGACACCCATAGTATTACAAGTTATCTGATGCAAGAATTGTATGCAGCAGGCTTACCAAAGTCATGTGAAATCATATGTTATTATTTAAACATTCCACATTTTATAAATGTGCAGGCTTAACTGTGAGATTGGAAGTTCCCAGCATTGTAAATTGTAACGATGCCGTGCAAAGCATGTGCTTTGTAATCCGTAAAAAGTACTGGAATTTGAAACTGGTGCGTGCTTCCTCCGCGCTTCCCCGGGTACTGCTGGTGGAGACTTGTCGAGCCTTGCACCTCCGGAGCGGATCGTGGTGCTGCAGGACAAGCTGCAGGAGATCCGCCGCTGCTACATGTCCCTTAAATCCGAAGTGGCCACCATCGACCGCCGCCGCAAGAAAAACAAGAGGAAGGAGCGTGAGGGTGAGTCTTAATCTCTTTTCCCCACTGCAACCAAGCAGTGCTGTGACCCGTAAGGTCGCCCGGCGCGGCTCTCAAGCCTGTTTTTCCACTGCAGGAATCCCGTGCCCGTGCCACTGACATCATCGCATAGTGAATGAGTCGAGTTGCGTGTAGATGTCGGAGTAATGCTGTGTTCTCACGGTACACTCGGCGACCGATGTCACATACAACGAACCAGGCCGTGCTTGACTTCGAGCCAGATGCAGATGTCTTGCGAGTCCACGTATCACCATTTGGTTTTGGCTCAACATAGCAAAATAGCCAGTGGATGACGCGGCCAAGCGCTGGCTTGGCTTGGATGTTGTTGGTGTAAAGGGGTTGGAGTGACTGCTGCGCCATCCCCCGCGCACTCCCCCGCGCACTTCGCTTTCTGGGTTGCAGTCAGTGGCACGCTTGCGGAACCATTGCACCCCCCCCCCCCCCCCCCGCTGCTCACTGAAGGACCTTAGCCTACGGCAGTACTGTATTTGCACAGGCTTAGTACAATGCTGCATCTGTAAGTGGCAGCAAGTGATTACGACTCTTGGTGTTTAATGTCAAGATTATTATTAACCTGTATATCGTCAATTCTAAGAATCCATTTTTTGAAATATACAGTTTTAGTTTTTCAAATTAAACTTTACATGTAACATACAGACTAGAATAAAACTCAATTCACAGCCACATGCATTCAGCCTTCCTTTGAAGGTCAGTCATTTGTTAATGTGGGAATTTGAAGCTTTTGACTTTTCTTTTATTAGTTTATTTGGGGTTGGAAGTTGGTGAGTAGTTAATGCTAAAGTATTTCAAGTAATTCTACGGTTGACTAATGGATAGTTTAGTCACCAATAGAGGACCGTTTGATCTGTCAAATTTGAATACAGCGATAGGAGGCATACAGCAATAGGAAAAGGTAGCCACAGTTCTAAAAACTTTGTTTATCTTATGATTTCATTTGACCAAAATGTGTAATGTCACAGCCGCCCAAGACATTCGATTTTATCAATTAGAGCTGCCTTGTTTGTGCTTGCATGTGACAGCCACGGCAACGACGGCGACATCCTCTGGTTCAGGCTCCGAGTCGACTCTGGGCTCTGTGTCTCCAGCCCAGAACACGGTCCCGGTGGAGTGCAGGTGACCAGCCCTGCTCACCCGGCATCCTGGCAGCTGTCACGCATCCACAAGCATTCAGTCCTGTGATCCTGAAATCCTGTTAACGAGGGAAGAGAAGGTGACGAGATTGGAGGGAGGTGGAGACTGAGGGGTGAGAGTGTCGGGGAAACACAACCACCGCTTCCTCTGCCAACAGCGAGAGTGGATGCAGACCTCGAAACCAGCACATGCTCACACGAGCCAAACACTGCACAACGTGCCCCTTCTGGTATAAGACTCGTTCAGAAATTTTAGGGATTTCATTTTTTCACTTTTTTGGTTGATTTTTACTGCTGTTACTATTGAAAGTAGTTCTAAATCTCCGGCTGATCTTGTTGCACAATGGTGCTCTTTTTGAGGCTACATTTCTTATTCTGTGAAAGTTCTGCAAATTGTGCATTTTCATACATTGGTGATGCTCGCATTTAAATTGATACATTTGGCAGTAATAGAGCGAGCCCATTTTGCTTTATTACCATTTCCTTTGCACGAACTTTGTCAGAGAAGTGTGTTCATATATCTAGATGAAGCTGTTGGTTTCTGGTTTGGAAGGAGTTTTCTGAGCCTGCTGCATCACTCGTGCGCTGTGTTTACTTTAACCTCTCGCAGTTTCACGTGAACCTTAGGATTTCAGCATTTCTAACAAGAAACTTATTGTAAATGTCTAGGATGAAAGCTAAACTTTGTTGTGGAATTTTGGCAGCTTGTTCATAAGGGTGTCTTCACCAGGGTGCAAATGCACCGGGTACCTTATCATGGGCCAGTTTTGTAAGGAGCTTCTAGTATTGCACTTAATCGAACTCTATTCCGTTTTTTGTTGATATATTTAGTAGATAGGGTGAGCTTCCTTTACAATGAATGTTAGGTGAGAGATGTATTGACCAGCAGCCACTGTTGTTCTGTGGCACAAGAGAAACAGTTCACTGCTAAGTGCTAATACATCCCACTGGGGACATTTTCATATTGCAATATGGTGTTTTAAAGCTTTTTAAAGCAGAAAGAATCTGTCTGAAAAGGTTGGAATGTACTGCATCGACGCTTCACGCTCGTCTTTTGCATTATGGCTAGCAAAATGCACTAGCTTAGCAGTTAGTACAGTACACTGTTTCTCTTTAATTACATTTTATATGAAAACAAAAGTTTTGTTTTTTATTTTTACAAAAAAATAAAATTAAAATAAAATTGAAAATTGTTTGACAAAGACGTTATTTAAGAGGTTTATAAGAGTTTCTAAACCTGAGACGTTTCTTATGTAGAGACGTGTGTTGCTGGATGATTTGAGTATATTTATTCAGATAAGATGGGCGAATAAGAGTTTTGTATTTTTTATCTATTTTAAAATTATTGCAAAGTGATGAAAATGTTTTTTTTCTGTTCCCAGAGCAGTCCTCTTTCGTCCCATAGGTTTTTTTTCTCCTGAACAGGCGTCTCGTCGTAAGCCGCTAATCTGTTTAATCCAAGCTGCCCCGTTCCCCTTAGTCCTCCAGGCCACTGCCTCTTTCTTCCTGTTCCCGAGTTGCTTATACTTTGCTTAACTTATTTCAGATTCAATTCACTGCCAAATGACCTGCTTATAATTTGGTTCACAGGCTGCCCTAACCTGAGTTTTCGGACTTAAGGATCAATTTAACAAAAACATTTTCTTGGCTCATATTTGACATTTGTGTGCTTGTTTAATAAAGATTTTGTTTAATAAAGATATGTCAAAATAGTGCTGCCCAGTAGTTAATCGCTGTAGTTGTACCCAGTTTGTGTTGTGTGAATTTGTATTTGTTTTATCTCTGTATATTGAGCTGGCTTTTTGGCATTGTCAATGAATGAACATCAAACCCATCTTGTACATTTTTATTTTTCGATCTTCAGTATTTTTTCATTGTTGTACATAGCCCAACCGTAAACTACCTGGCAGTGAAAGCTTGCAATACAAAATCCATGCCCACTTTATCTCCAGTATCTAAGTCACGCAATTGTTTTCTTCAACGAGCTGAGCTAAACATTTTCAGTGATAATGTTCATATTAATGTCTTGGTATTGCCTGCTTTTCACTTCCAGAATTTCAATGCTTGCTGAATCCATGTGGACTACCAAGTGTTGAATTACGTTCGGTCATTTACCTTTGCCTTTTTTCTGTGCAGTGTTGTACATTAAGAATGATATCACAACAAATATAAAGCTATCAAATGTTCTTTGTTGTGTGTTCAGTCTTCGTATCAAGTTGCAGCAGAAAATTTCTGACCTCAAGTCAATGGTCAGTGGTCACCTTTCCAGTCAGTTTTACAGAAACTGATGTAAGCATAAGTCATCCAGCAGAGCTTAGCAAGGGTACATGAACATGAATATGTATTTTTTGTAATAAACAACTTACAGTAAAATTATTTATTAATGTTTATTGTAATGTGTGTTCACCATAATGCCCCAAGAAATGCTCCAAAATGTGGAGTGATTTTACTCGGTGAAATTATTACATTTTAATTGCACGTGGAATTGAAAAATGTTTATTTTTTTTTATTAAATATGAGTTAGTGGTCAACCGCTGCACTATAAATTGTTGAGATATCTAAGCAAGATTCTACCGCAATTATCACTTTTCGAAATTGAAGGTTAAACAGTGTTGTGATGGTCATAAAGACTTTACATATACTGTAGTTTACTGTACAGTGATTGGATACTCAGTTAAATATTTAAATAAGTGTTATCTGGAAACGTTTAACAAAAGTGCCCCAAAACAAAGGCACAGCTATCTGCCAAAAAAAAGATTCCAAATTCACAAACCACACAGCTTTGGCTGCTTTTGAAAAAGAAAATCTCAAATCACATGCCTATGAAACGATTTGTCTTTAAAGAAACTCGAAAGAGCCGGCGTCGCATAACAGTCGGATAAACTCATTGCCATGTTCAGACTTGATGTCAAAAGGGCAAACTGAAGTTACTGTACCGCGAGTTAAGACCACGCTCAAGGCAGAATATAGTGATGTGCCTCCATAGTGAAATGAAAAAAACCAGCGCGTAGTTTTATAATAACTGATACAAGTGGTTACAACTTGAACGCAAAGCTAGTTGCAAAGCTACTCCATTTGCAAACGTTGGTTTTAAGTGTTTTTGAGTGTCAATTTTAAAATGTATTCGAATTCCCAACCCTCTACTGCTGCTCCCCAAGCACTAGCTCTTAATTCTGTACCTTTCCGGCCAATTTGCTTGTTTCCCTGAATACCCCGTTAAATAGAGTGACAGCGTTTGGATAGGTTCGGAATAACTTATTTTTTAAATCTCGAATAGTTGCATTTAGATGCATTGAATGAGAAGCACAAACATTTTTCTGTACTGTATATACATTAACATTTTCAAACAGGAAAAAGCCCATTGAGATCATACGTCTACAACCATTGTTTATCCACTGCTGGAGAAAACCCACTCTCAAGTCTTTGTCGTGTCTACGACTAGTGATGCAACAATCTACGTAGCACCACCCATCTACACGAGCTGATTTTATCGCTCTTGCTCCGCGGTGGACATCCTCTCTGGTGTTGTACCTTGCTTTGACTTGCAGCACGCGCTTCTGCGGCCGTCTGGAACGCTCTTCCAATATTAGGAAGCCACTGGCGCTATGTACTTTTATATAATCTAAATTTGAATTTTATTTCTTTAGAACTGCATTTTGTCTAGTCCTTCCCCCGCACCTCCAATTAGCACGGTTGCTAAAGAAGTTCAACATACTCTGTCGTTAGTCTCGACCATCCGCCATAATCTAAATCCACGTGTTATTTTATCTCAATGTTATTCCGAAAGTGTGCATCTCCCGAAAAGGATCGATTGTCTGGGAGTGGAGGGCACGACTGGAGAAACGTGACTCCATTCTGCCCGCACGATAAAGACATTCTTTCCAGCGTTTTAGGGGCCATCCATAAATGACGTCACGCGATTTTGGACGATTTTTGACCCCCCTCGTCACAGCGTCACAAAAAGTCAGACCCCCCCCTTCAAATATGACGTCACAAAGCTCTGCCCCCCTCCCCCCCAATAAAAAATCAAACATGCTTCAAATCGCTTTAAACTATTGTCATTGTAGTGCGTTTTCAATGTGGCGCTGCACTCTGATGTTGTAGTAGAAAACATTTATTAAAAAGTCTATTTCATTAAGTAGAGCGTGTTGTCTATATTTATTTAAAGTCGCACATTTTGATATGACGTCACATTGCTCAAACCCGCCCCCCCCCTTGTCACATCGTCACAAATGTCTGACCCCCCCCCAGGTGCGTGACGTCATTTATGGACGGCCCCTTAGTCCATCGGACAATTGGCTTTCCAGACCGACGTTATTGTGGATCTCAGCGTACTTAAGAAAATGATGTTGGGCCACTGATGACCGCGAACTCCGAATCATCCTCGCAGCGGCTTCTGAACAGGCATCGAGCGCTTTCAGATGCGCGCTTCTGTTGCCATCTGGAACGCTCCTCGATATATCAGGAAGCCACTGGGAGCGACGCAGTTGTAAAGCGTCTAGATTGAAAATTAATCTCTTTCGAACTGTTTTGTCTTTTAGTTTGGTGTCCTTCCCCCCTGCTCCTTCCCATAGTACCGTTGGCTACGTACAACATACATAGTGGAAGGCCGACGTGATTGTGGATCTCATCAGGCTGGAGAAGAAAATGACAAATCTGGCTGCCGCCTGATGATGCCGGTAGTAATCAAGTTCTGTTTACGTGACAAGCCTTACTAAATATATGTGGCGGGTTTCACGACATTTATGCGATCTAACACCTCCCCCCCGTCCCCCCCCCCCCCAATTATGGAATACAATTATTTTTCGACCACTTATTGGTAAGGGCCCTCGATCGAACCATCCCTAAACCTCCTAACAATGTGAGCGGGGTTCGCCGCAGTCGGATCGATTCGCGGATCACGTTGAGACCGGCAAACGAATCGATCCCTTCTTCCCACCTCTCGCCTCTCCGCTGTTTGTGGCCATGATTGCGTCTCGCACCGGGGCCATCACGGCCGGCATCTGCGGCGCCGTCTTCATCGGATACTGCGTCTACTTCGACAGAAAGCGACGCAGCGACCCCGACTTCAAGAAGAAGCTGCGAGAGAGTGAGTTTACCCCCCCCTCCCCCTCTGCGAGAGCCGCTGCTGAGGCCTCCGCGAGGACACCAGGACTCGGATAGAAATTGTGCCGGGGGGTCAGTGCCTCTTCCCCGGCACGACCCGCTAGGCCGGGATGGGGGGCTATCTTCGGCCCTGCCCACCACACACCACACGCCACCACCCCTCCCCCCCCCCCCAAAATCAAGCAAGTTTATTGTTTGTATTGCTGAATAATTTGTAAGTAAGTTAATCGATTAATGTTTGCGTTTAAATGCCGAATGGTCGAAACGGTGTCGCGCGCGCGGCGCGTCTGTGCGGTGTGCTGCTTTGGCAGACAACACTCCCGTTTCTTCGCCTCGGCTCACGACGAGAGGACGCGATTCGTTCACGCGGCGGGGGTGGGGGGCCCCCCTCGTCTCGGCTTGGGCCCCCCCCCCTCGTCTCGGCTTGCTCACAGGACGGGCGCCTTGATGAACTCGGCCTCCTTTGGCTGGGCCGAGGTGGAAATATCCCGCGGACGTCGAGCGCCGCTCGCCGCGGAATCGCGTGAAGAGGCCGCCTGGGAAGCGTGACCTCTACGGGCCCCACGCTCTCCCGTCGAAACCCAAGAATCTCCGTCCCACCACCACCAACCACCTACCCACCCACCCAGGGAACGACGTTTTAGTGTCTGTCCCCTTGCATAGCCATTGCGGTCTTGTACGTGGTGCATCGGCGAGGAGACTTCACGTCGCGTAAATAAACCGTGTTGCGTATCATGTAACTTGTTCAGAACCTTGGGGATGCACGGCTGGAGGAGGAGGAGTGGTGGTGGTGGGGGGCTCCCGAAGCCGTGCGCGTTGGGGGTCGTTTGACCATACTTAACCATTGTTGGTCAGTGCGTGTCGGCGAAGGCGGGGAGAGCCGTAGACGTATGAAAACGGCGTGGAACTCGTTGGTCAAAGACCCCCCCCCCCCCGGCCACGCCGCACAAGGCTCCCATCGATGATGCCCAGGGACTCGCCGTCGTTGCTGGAGCCGGGGTTTTACGGAGCCGGGGTTTTACTCGGCCGAGCTGTGCCGCAATGTCTCCCCGAGTTTCCCCGCCGCTTCTACCCCTAAGCGGAGCTGTCATTTTTGCAGCGCGTCTTGGCATGCGACTGCATTGTTGATGCTGTGTAAATTGAAGTTGCTTATTGCTGCTGCTGCTGCATTGTAAATCAAGGAGGTTGATGCGACTTTGTTGTTTGCAGGGCGACGAAAGCAGAAGCAAGCCACTTCCAGCGCACAGATAATTGTATGTCTTACACACCGTACTTTAACGCAACTTAATACTGTACGCAGGTTTTCTCAGAATGTTGGTTCGTGATTGTTTAGGGTTAGGCCACGTAATGCAAATGTGGTGGGAGGGGGTTCCTAATGCCATTTAATTGGTCAGATCAATGTGACACAAAGATCAACTATGAATGAGAGCAGAAATTCAGTAATCCGCGTTAATATGGCAGGACCATACTGCTGATCCTGTAATCTGTGGCATATCGTAGAAGTCAGACCATATCTGTGAAACATTTGTTTGTGGTGTGTGCGAGTTATGGGAAAGAGCTGTGCAGTTAATTTTATCTGCGAAAAACTTGAGATTTACAGAAGCGTAGCACGTGATTATCGGCAACATCAACGAAACATGAGTAGATTACGGGATTACTAGTTTTTTTAAAGACTCAAATTGTGCAAATTTGCGCCACGTAGGTTTATGTTAAAAGATGATTGCGTTTTCTTGACTTCATGTTCAGTCTTATTTTTTAAAAAATAGTGTTGGATTCAACATCACGTGAGCACAGCTAGTCTACAGAAGCAAAACAAAATTAATATCACCAAATAAAAAAAAGTCTTATCTCCCACATTGCGCCCTGTACCGCGAACTATGGAAGCAGTTGTGAACCGACAATTATCCATGCAATGCAGGGATTCACGGGTTATTGGATTGTGAATTATTGGATTTCTATCGTATACCACGTTTCTATTAAAGCAGTGCAAACATCAACTTTTTTCCAAAGTTTATTTCTGCATGAAATATTAACCTATATGTTTAATTAGAATGTCACTATTTTTACGTCAGACAACCAAACAGATTTAAATTTGACATTAAATGAAAATATTTAACTAATGAACTCAAGGCCATTCGTGATTCTGTCCCAGACAACAGTAATTGCCTATGGCCAGTTACAGTTTGAATTTACATAGCACCTAAATGTGACTGTGTCTCAATAAGCTGTCCACAAATGGGGGCGCATTCCTATTTTCCAGAGAGGTAAGTCAGACATAGCCAGAGTTGAAAAAGGAAACTCTTGAGCCTGGACTTGAACTGGGGGAAGAGTTAGTTCCAGACCATGGGGGAAACTGTTTCATTTTCGTTTCAAAGAAATCACCACACGTACACACACAATATGCAAAAGTACAATACAATTTTTTTTAAACAATTACAATGGTCAATGACATTTTATTCGATCGGAGCTTTGAAATCAGACAATGATACCCTCTTCTCCAGTTTTAAAATCTTTGTAATTCATTCCAGGATCAAAGGAGCATGATAGGTAAATGATTGTTTCCCCATTTTAGTCCTTGCCCTAGGAACTGTTAAAGAGAGCACTGACTGAGAACGAAGGCTGTAGGTTTGATGTTTTTTTAGCTGTGAACAAATATATGTAGGGAGTAGGCCAAGTACTGCCTTATACACAAATATGTACCAGTGTTTAAGCCTTCTGGTGTGAAGGGAAGACCACTTCACCATGTTATATAATCACAATGGTGAATTAGTAACCTTGCGTTAGTAATGAACCTAAGTCCTCCATGGTATAAACTCCTACACCACGTGCTGTAATGAGGCTCTGACGCTTCTCATCTCCACCGTGCAGCTGCCGGACATTAAGGATACTGAGGCCGTGCAGAAGTTCTTCCTTCAGGAAATCCAGCTTGGCGAGGAGATGCTGTCACAAGGTATGCATGCTTGGGAAGAGAAGGGCCAGACTGCACATACAGTCACTGCTATAAACGCAGTGTACTCTTGAGGGGCTAAAAGAGGGCCGGTGTTTCCTTGACAGCAGAACCATTTATAGGGCCCAGGAAGTGGTTTCCCATTTTAACTGGACGGCAAACAAACTCAACACCGGCTGACCGACATTTGTCTGGCATCGAGTGCTTAATGTTTCTTGTGGCATATTATGCCAACATTTTCTCTAAAACTTTTGCCTGAATCAACTCGTACATATTCCAGCTTCATTTATTTTGCAAACATGTCAAAGGTGGGATTCAACCGCCAAAATTCAGGTTGAAAAGACTCTTTTTTTTAAATCACCAAGTTTTCGTGCTCAGTTTTAGCTGTTCAGTGGCTGTGGGTCTGAAGATTCTCATTCGGAGCATTGTGCCCTGTGTGCAGGTGAGTTTGAACAGGGGGTTGAGCACCTGACCAATGCAGTGGCAGTGTGCGGCCAGCCCCAGCAGCTGCTGCAGGTGCTGCAGCAGACACTGCCGCCACCGGTCTTCCAGATGCTGCTGCAGAAGCTGCCCACCATTGGACAGGTGCCTCACTTTGACTTGCACCAGGAGCACCTGCAGCATTCCATGGTACAATTTCCTCTCTGCAGTCTACCGTGGATGTCAAGTCTGATTTTTGCCGATTTGTATTTCAGAGGATCGTTTCACGCTCCACGCTGCAGGAGGTGGAAGAAGAGGACGTGGAGTGATTGTTTTAGGTTCAAATTTTCACCATCTAGCTACTCCCTTATAACTCCAGTTTATACCAAACTGTATTTCTGGACAGTGCTACACTTTTTCTTTGCTTTTGTATTGCATTCATTAATGCGCATGAACCTAACCTTTTCAAAGCCTTTATATAATTGTCATTGTTACAAATGTGCAAACTTTCAGATGAAACTTTGACTCCAGTTTCCTTTGGTGGTGGTTTAAGTAAATAAAATGTTTTATTTACAAGACAATTTGTGTTACATTATTTTATTAAGCCACAGCTCAACATGTTTACAATACAGAATATTGGTTATGCATGCAAAAATGCTTTCTTTAATCCTTTCATCAATGAGGCAAGGTAACATAGCTCCCCCATATTAACTCCTGTATTACAAATACAGTCCGAAGTGCATCAACAGCCTTTACACAGTAGGGATGTCTAATGTACATTTTCTTAAAAAACAACAGGATCTTGCTTTTTAAAGCCAACATGGATGAAAAGCACATGCTCTGGGTTTATGGCAGCATTTAAGCCCAATGCTTGGATCGGCACAAATCCTGTTTCCAAAAATCTCTTTAAAAAATAAGAAACACAGTTATTTGGGCAACGTGATCCTCCAGACTCGTTAAGCACATTGCAGACGTGTCTGTGCGAAGACAGTGCTGCACACAGTAGCTTGGCCCCTTTATGTCGCGGGATTGCGAAGTGGCCCCTTGGCGCTCGGCTCACATCTTGGGCTGGACGATGAGGCCTGCGCGAGCAGCCAGGGCCTCGTTCTGCTGGATGTGGTACTCCTGGAATCGCTGCGAGATTCTCTGCGTCATCTTCAAATATTTCTGCATGCAGGTCTCGGTGCAGTTGTTCTGGACATGTGAGAAAGTGACCAGCAAGAAGGCATGAAATGGTGCATTCATTCGTGTTGAAATATGAATCTAAAGATACATTTTTATTTATTTAAGCAAAACACATTGTGCAATGTAGTCTAATGGAGTGAATAAAACGACACCAGAGAAAAACCATGATATTAAATGTTGTTTTATCACAACCCCAAATTGTGACAATTTATCATAAACCTGGATGGTGAATCGTGACATGCTTTAAAAAACCAATCACCTACATGTTAACTTTAGATGTACAGTGACATAGCAACATTTGTCGAATTCTCCATAGCTAATTACAACCATAAAATCCTTCAATGAGTGCTTTTCAGCTGAATGATGTTGGGCCAAGTTGAAGTTAATGTTCTAGTTTTACTGCTGCAGGACATTGTTCAATTTTCAATGGTCGTGAATGTTCACATTAAAGGAGATTTAGATTTAAAGCTTTCGTGACTGCAGGGATTCATATTCTTGGTTCTTTATACATATGTGACTTTACCGAAAGAACCAAGAATATTAAAGGAGATGTTTTATCATGAAGTTTATTCTTTAGTCAGTTGAACATGAAGCCCCGGGCTCTCGCATAAACTATGTTGCGACGTCATTTTATTTTGTTGAAGGCTAACGATACGGCATCTATTCCTCTCGACGAGCTCTACACGATGCGCTAATCAAAGTTTTGTTTATGACTACGGCAATTTTGGCAACGACGGGTGCTTGGTGAAGAAACGAGATGATTGATTTCTGGTGGGTCGCGGCGTTTATGTGCGCGGTGGGACGAGTCGCAATAAATAAATGAATTACGATTTTGACCGTTTATTCGGGACCCCGGGGTCGTGCCATAAGGCTCAGTTGATAAACTGGTTTTGTCAGCAAGTGGCAGTGAAGCTCTACCTCTTCGTCCAGCACCTTCCGGACCGTGAAGTCCTTCACACAGTCCATGAAGCACAGCTCTGACAGCTTGTTATACGAGCCCAGGAAGTCCTTAAACTGTGGGGAGAGTAGCTGTCAGCGCCATGAACATTACAACAATCGCGTTAAGCTCTACTTATAAAACTATATTTTGAGATAATTCAGTTATTCACATTACAATTCAAACTTGCATTATGTTACATTACAACTTTGACTTAAAATAGTTAAATACAATTTTTAAAAAAATATACATCAAAGGAATACTTAAGTGGTTGGCACACTGGACGTGCAATCCAGATCTTCTGGCACGGCAGTTGAAACTTTGAGAAGCGCTTCTATAAATCCCCCCCCCCGCCCCAATCTGCTCTTCCAGCAGTATCAATGTCCTTTTGAGGCAATTGGTAGCGAGATGTTGACTATCTCGCCAGGCATCCAGGAGGTCGTGGTTTAGAACCTGACTGAAGCCTGTATATTTGGAGTTTTCTTCGGGTCCTCCGGTTTTTCCCTCCACATTTAGAAACATGCGTTTAGAATATTTGGCTGCTATAAATTTCCACTTGATAAGAAACTTAATTGGGCTTTCATTTATGGCCAGGTAGCTTCTGAAAAAAATAGCTATATAGTTCAGTGGGACTTAAAACTATAGTTTCAGTTTTAATAGTTGAAATGGGTACACCATAGTTGGCCGACCGGCAGGTCGCGTGTGGTCTAATCTCTTACAATACGTTTGGTCAGTATGGAAAAGTTGGCCCAATAGAGGGGGCTCTCAAAACTGCAGTGCTGCACCTTTACCGGTTACATTAACCTGGCTGCAACACGCTACTTGCATGCAACCAACAACCACGTTGGCACGTGCGCTTGCTGTTAGACTCACCTGCTTGATTTGTTCGGCCTCTGTAACCTGGGCAGCCATGTCTGCCTGATGATCTTATTCTACAGACACAACGTGGAATCATTTGACATTTTTATTAAAAATAATGCCCCAATTCCCAGCCGATTACATCAAGATTATATACACAATACGTCACAAAAGGCGCTTTGGTTTCACATCTTAATGGTGCTCCTCTCAAAACCTCCAAGTTAATCTTTGTTCCTGTATAACATGCACAGAATGCAGCGTCCACATTTCATAACTGGTAAACACCTCGCGCTGATGGGGAAACTCCACTTGTTCAGTCTGAACATAAATCTGTATCAACACCGATATGACGTTTTGAGAACGAGGTTCCGCTCAAAACAAAAAGGCCCTTCCCGTTGCCGACATCGTGACTGGCCTGCGCTTTCAACTTTCAGCTGTACAGAACCGGCTTCGGAGTTTAACTATAATAACTATCAAATGGGGTAACGGACAGCACCCATGACTGGTTGTAACTATCGCTATCCGGTGTGCAGGAGGTGCAACTGCACTGGGGCCAACAGGGCCTAGCGCGGACACTTGGACAAGGCTCGACATGAATCGCTTGCCAACCACGCGACGCCACCGACAAGGCCACGGGTCTCCGGGCTCACAGAGGCCGAACACCGCGACGTCTTCCCAACCCAAGGCACCGATGTTATGCAATCTGCGAGCCTCTTTAACCACACGCGCTGTGGACTCGCGTCGCTCTGCCCAAGTCGGGCCTCACCTCTCGCTTACAGTCCCGAGCCAGTGGTGGGAATTCCCCATTACCACGGCGGGCGCCTGTTTGTTTTACTGAGCAGCAGTGGATTCGCCACCACCTCCCCCCCCCCCCCGACACTACGCGAGGCGGCAGAGACCGCGGGCCGTGCAGCGGCGACAGAACCTTGAGCAGGCGGGGGGAGGTCACGGGGCAGCTCCCGACACACGGGCGGCTTCGCGAGCGGAACCCCGCGGCGCGTATCTGCTTGGTTGTTAGGCGTCGTGCTCGTCGCCAGCGGTTGCAGTGTCCGCAAGGTGCGGAACTCGATTCCGGCTGGAAAATCTAAATAACAAAAAGTAAATTCCACTCGAGTCCGTCAAAATACAAATAAAAGACCACTCCACGCGGCCGTGGTGTGGGGGACGTTGTCACCACGTGACCTCGGCTAAGGCGGACGTTGGCGACTTCTCCGCAGCCCCGCGGATTCGCCACCGTGAGACCGGCCCCCACCCCAAAAAAACGCGTTTACACGAACTGCGCTTCAATTAAGCACGGCGACAGATGCGTTGGGGGGGGGGGGGGCAACAAACAAAATAACGCGGTATTATTTTAACGCAAACAAAACCTCGACTTGTTTGCAAACAATTGTTTTTTATATTTTAAAATCGAAATTGGCGAAAATATCGCGGATGCCTTATTCGCGAGTGCGGGTGCCTTTTCCGTGCGGCAACAATCGCTCGCTTGCCTCCACCGGATATAAACTCCACGCACTGAGGCGCGTTTATTAACATTTATTCTCAACCGCCACGCCTTGCAAACGTAAACCAATAATCTCTCTTCATTTTTTCCGCGCCGTAATTAAGAGGAAAGAGACCTGCTCGCAAAGGAAATACCCGTGTACGTCACGTGTCCGGAACGATATTTTGCGACCTGCACCCGCCGCGTTTTCGGTTCCGATCCCAGCCGTTGGTCGCGGGGGAGGGGGAAAAGCGGGGAGCGAGGGGGAGGGGCTTGGGGGATTGGGGAGGGGGCCGTGTTACCAGATCAGAGGTTTTACCTCCAGGTCCACGCAAATTTTATACTTAAGATTATATTGGACACGATATTCTAATTAAGTCGTATTTACAAACACAGCGAGTGCAACACAGCCTGCTGAAGGGGATACAAGCTTTGTTCATCTTTCCCATCGATTTTTGCTAAACTATTCCCACTTATCAGCAGTGCCCCCCACCCACCCCCCGGGACTCTGAACTTCTTTCGCACCGTCCGTAGTCGACCGCGCGATTCGGAGGTGCCGGGGGAAGACAGACGGACAGGGAACGCAAAAAAAATCAGCTTTGTAAAGAAAGTAGTTTGTTAATCTCGACGATGGCTGTAAAAGTTGTCTAATCTCCTGCAGATGTAGATGCCACTGGTTCTTCACGTTCTGCAGATGCCACTAGTTCTTCACGTTCTGTAGATGTAGATGCCACTGGTTCTTTACGTTCTGTAGATGAAGATGCCACTGGTTCTTCATGTTCTGCAGATGTCACTGGTTCTTCACGTTCTGTAGATGTAGATGCCACTGGTTCTTCACGTTCTACAGATGTAGATACCACTGATTCTTCACGTTCTACAGATGTAGATGCCACTGGTTCTTCACGAACTGTAGATGTAGATGCCACTGGTTCTTCACGTTCTGCAGATGCCACTGATTCTTCACGTTCTACAGATGTAGATGCCACTGGTTCTTCACGTTCTGCAGATGTCACTGGTTCTTCACGTTCTACAGATGTAGATGCCACTGATTCTTCACGTTCTACAGATGTAGATGCCACTGATTCTTTACGTTCTACAGATGTAGATACCACTGGTTCTTCACGTTCTGTAGATGTAGATGCCATTGGTTCTTCACGTTCTGCAGATGTAGATGCCATTGGTTCCTCACGTTCTGTAGATGTAGATACCACTGGTTCTTCACAAACTGTAGATGTTGATGCCACTGGTTCTTCACGTTCTGCAGATGTAATCTTGATTTGTTATTACTTCATAGTTGTGTGTGTACTCATACCTGTCAACCCCTTATCAGTGCCCTACCTGAACACAGACCAATTCAGACCTCGTTGGTCACCCCGTGCCCCCTTCATAAATCTCAACGTGTATCCTACAAAGTCCCATCACAAGGCAGAAACACAAACAAACTAGACAACAAAAACAATTGTTTTAACTTTGCCCCGAATTGACACGGCTGTTACGCCGTACGGACCTCAACACTAAATTTCCCCGGTAGAAGGACACGGCGTTGAAACCCGCCTTGGCTTTTGCACAGCCGCCTACAAACAATCGCGAACAAAATCATCACGCGCGGTTTATCGATCATCAAATCATTGGACCGGCTGCTCGTCGTTAATCTCGAGGGTTTTTATCCCTCCGAGCTGACATCGCCGCCGCCGCAGCCGTCGTCGTCGGCGAGCCCGAGGGAGGCGGAGTGCGACCCGCGTCGTCGTTGTCGTCGTCGTCGTTGTCGAGGAGGAGGAGGCGGAGGAGGAGGCTGCTACTGCCGCTACTGCTGCTGCTGCTGGCTCCGGCTCCACGGGCGGCATCGAGGACCACAACCACCACCACCACCACCCCCCCTCAACGTCGTGAGGAGCAGCCGACGAGCCCCCCTCGTCTCTACATCGATCGGTTTCCCCGGTGAGGGGACTTTGTTGTTGTTGATGCTGCTGCTGCTGAGCGAGCCAACTTCGTTCGCTCTCCCGCGCCTCGGGGCCGCCGGGGCGTTTCGCGGGGGGCGAGGGGGGTGGCGAGGGGGGGGTGGGGAGGGGGGGTCCGGACGCAGCCCCGCGGGGGGCCCCGGGGGGCCCCCACGCCGGCTCGGCTCGCCGGTGGCGCCGCACGTTCTTTCACCCTGGGTGTTGGGATGAGTGCGGCGCTGCTTGTGGTGCTTGGCCGTTGAAGCGAGGGTGTCGTTGGTGTGGTCGTGGTTGTTGTGGTTGTTGTTGTGGTGGTTGTTGTTGTTGTGGTTGTTGTGGTGGTGGTGGTTGTTGTGGTGTGGTGGTTGTTGTTGGTGTGGTGGTGGTTGTTGTGGTGGTGGTGGTTGTTGTGGTGGTGGTTGTTGTGGTTGTTGTTGTTGTTGTGGTGGTTGTTGTTGTGGTTGTTGTGGTGGTGGTGGTGGTTGTTGTGGTGGTGGTGGCGGGCAGGGGAGCGGTGGTGCAGCGGTGAGCGCCGCGATGCGCTACGAACCCGGCACGACCCGAGTTCGATTCCCGCTCAGAGGCAGCAGCACCGGTGACGATTGTCTCAGCCGGTCCCGGGCCTCCGCCTAAGTCGACTCGGCCTCAAATGAGCACCTGGTGCGATGTGTACATTTTCCTACTGGGGGAGACAAAGGCGGCCGGGCGTGGTGCTGGCCACCCACCTCCCCATCGCGTGCCGTTCTTGCGTAGTTGCTGCTACTCGCTAACAGCACTTGCCGCTACAGTCTGTTAAGGCTACACGGGGGACCTTTGTCTTTGTGGTGGCGGGCACGGTTGTGGCTTGGTTTGCATGTTGTGGGCCGTCGATTCAATGATCAGTCACTGGTCGTGATCACCTCTACAGCAGAGGTGCTGATGGTGCCCTAATCGTGATAATCACCATCACCACCTCTGTAGAAAATGTGATGATGGTGATGATGGTGGTGGTGGTTATGTCACACTCATCATTCGCTACGATGACGGCAATCTTTATTGCAAGTCACCATCGTCATCTTTACCAACATCATCAGGGTTTATTTATTCATGATGATCTTGTTCGTGGTAATCTTGCTCTCGGCATCGTTACAACGGTTATCATCTTTACCATCGTCGTCACGGTCAATATGTTCATCTTTATCAACTCAATAATCCCCTCCGTCATCGTTACCATGGTCGGCGGTAATATTCAGCAACAACATCGCCCAAGTCATCATCGCCATTGTCGTGGGCTTCAACGAAGACTCATTTATTATTTATTACCAACACAAGTATTATTATTTATTACCGACACAAGTATTATTATTTATTACCGACACAAGTATTATTATTTATTACCGACAAGTATTATTATTTATTACCAACACAAGTATTATTATTCATTACCAACACAAGTATTTGTATTTATTACCGACACAAGTATTATTATTTATTACCGACACAAGTATTATTATTTATTACCGACACAAGTATTATTTATTACCAACACAAGTATTATTATTTATTACCAACACAAGTATTATTATTTATTACCAACACAAGTATTATTATTTATTACCAACACAAGTATTATTATTTATTACCAACACAAGTATAATTTATTACCAACACAAGTATTATTTATTACCAACACAAGTATTAATATTTATTACCGACACAAGTATTATTATTTATTACCGACACAAGTATTATAGTAATAGGTTTTACCCTTTTAACTGACACAAAAACTGACACCTTTATTCAAGGCATCATGTTTGCAATAACCACAACACAAGCAGTCAAAATGCAAACAAAAGAGACAACTTTGATAATAATATGCACTGTCCTTGAATTTGATTGGTCCACACCCGAGACGGCTTTTCTTAGAGCCTAGTCTCCATTGGTGTTGGACCAGAAGATATTCTTGGTTCTTTCGGTAAAGTCACGTAGAAGGGAAACAATAAAATAATAAAAATATATTTTTTATATTTGTATTATGTTATTGTTTCCCTTCTACGTGATTTTACCGAAAGAGCCAAGAATATACAAGTATTATTATTTATTACCGACACAAGTACTGTATTATTATTTATTACCGACACTATTATTTATTACCAACACAAGTACTGTATTATTATTTGGTGGACCACCAGGCTAACTGCACGAATTTCACTGTAATTGGCGACAACGGACCGGACCACAGCTTGGGTCCAGGTCCACGTGTTGGAGACTTCTGTAGAACGCAGACGAAGGTTTCTTCAGGATCACAACAGTGCAGGTCCCCCCTGGGGAACCCGGCTGATACCATCCCTGTGGCGGGGCACGCTCCGCCCATAGTAGCCACGACCCCCTTGTGGGGTCCTCGAGAAGGATTTCCACCTGGACACGTGATAACCCCAGCCCCCCTTTGGGGGTCACCGGGTAGACACCTCCGGTCACGTGTCCTCCAGGGTCAACCAGAGTGCCATGGGCCCTTGCAACCCCGTTCCGTGGCCGGCACTCACGCACCCTATCCTGTAGAGGCTTGCACTGCACGCAGAGCGTGGTGCCCTCTATCACTGTCAGTCAGTGCTCCCCGTGCCCCGCTATGGCCGGTACTGCATCCACATTCAGTGGTGTCTGCGATGCCACTACATGGCACACCGTGCCTCTCGCAGGCCGGCTTCACACAGTGACATCCAGCGATGTCACTACACCATGATTTTTTTTAAAGAGTATTGCAATTTTTGTTGTCATCGACACAATATTTATCATCGTTATCAGCAGCAGAATATTACCGACATCATAATTATCACGACAATCATCAGATTGATCATCACTACCATCATCATCATCAAAACGAATATTATCAATCCCAGAAACATCTTTACATCACCACGATCATTGTCATCATGATTATTGTCGTCGAAGGTGCTGCTGATGACGAAGGTGATATGATTGTGGTAAACTTTAATACAAACACATATAGTACTGGCCATCATCATGGTTATCATCACCTGTCATCTTTACATTGATTGTAATAATCTCCATGGCCATGTTTGACCATCACCATGAGCACCGTGGTTATTATCATCAACAACAACATAACGATGTGCTACTGTTTGAGAAGGTGATTTAGATCACACGGAAAGACAGTACTTGGCTTTGATCACCAATGTTGCTGCAAACTCTTAAAATAAATTTCAGCACCCCAAACCTCCTCGTGCATCCTCCAGTACCCCTCTTCCTCCGCTACCACGCCAGTTGCCAAGTGTGAACAACTCTCCTCTTATTTCTCAGAGAATGTTAATTAGATTAGGAATGGAATTCTGGTGTCTGAATTTGCTTCTCCTTTTTTCATTCCTGTCTACCCACCACTTGCTCGTGACTTCCATCAGCCTGTCTCCATACACAGCCACGATTACAGTAAATTATTTCCACCTTCAAATCTTCTTCCATCCTCCCTCATTTGCCTCCAGTGTTAATCCATCCTTGTCCCACCATAGCCCTGGACATTACATCAGTCCACCTCTGAATGAGGCCCTCCCAATGTTCAATCAGTCATGGAGATTGCCAGTATGTGCAAGTTGGTGAAGGGTCGGTTCGTGAACAGTTCAGATAGCACTCGCCACTGATGCTTGACGTGAATGGAAATGTAACCCAGGCCGTTGGATTCATAGTGCAGTGCGGTAATCACTGCGCCGCTGATCCGCCTCCAGCAGACTCTTATCTGCAAGTAAATAAACTCCTACTTCTACTCAAATGTAACGATTGTCTTATGTGTGTGTGTGTGTGTCGGTTGTTATTCTCTGCCTGTTGTGCCCTGCTGCGACAGCTGTGTCGTAGCACGCATCCACCGTGCATGGATCTGGCGCAAGTGTCCGAGCCGCCGTCCGCTACGTTGCGGGCGGCGGGCGCAATTCCTCGCTCCGCCGAATCCCTCCTGCCCTGCTGCTCCTCGCCGTCCATCCTGGCCATCGAAGGAGACAGCCACAGCAGCCACGCATTCAGCTCGGGCTCGGAGAGTTCCACGGCGAGCCGCGTGCTGGCGCGCAGCACCTCCACCGCCGCGGTGACACGGGCAGGGCAGGCGGCGCCGCCGGCAAGAGCTGGGCGAGAGGCGTCGCACGCTGCCAGCCGGCGAAACAATGCGCTGCGGGAAATTGTCTGTGTGCCGGCGGACGGGCACGTGACCTTGGCCCATGGTAGTCGGTGTGGGCATGGTGGCAAGGAGACGACAGTCACCACCGGTATGTGACTGTCATCCGTCTCAGCAGCTTTGCACCAGCTTGTGAAGTTTTGCTATTTGTATGCTTCTAGTTCGGCCGCCATATGCAAATGTGCACTTAAGACAAGGGTGGCTTATATCTGTCAGTAGAATTTGGATAGTGTTGCTTTGCAAGAAGACAATCATTGGTCAGTGAGAGATGATAACTTGCATACTTGGGGAGAATGCCGCTAATCAATATCGGGCTGGTGTCAGAAGTAACGATGCTCGGTATAGAATTATCTACATGCTCTCACAAGCCGAATTTTGTCTTTAATTAACAAAAGTCACAAGTGATTGCTTAAATGAGCATTGAGTCGGTGCTGCTCTCCTGTTCACAGCCCTGGGCCAGTGGCACAAGTTCCACATCCCTGTGGTGGGGGCAAGTCTATCCATAGGACAATAACTTTTGACTCCCCCTCATCCCAACCGGGATTTGAACTCTTGCCGCTGAACCACCTGGCCAGAGAAAATCTTAAAAATTAGGTGAATGAATCATTATATGGTTTAAATGAACACATTTGCAATACACTACAATGTTTTGAATGTATTTTTTTGGCAGTTCACCCTGGGGGGGTGGATGAAGATGAGTTCAAAGAAAATTTGATGCACCTGCCTGTGAATGGACAACTGGGGGTGGACGTTATTGCCCCATCAGTTCGGGTAAGTGGATGGGAAAATATAACTGTGCCTTCTGTTCCATACCTTATCACCAAACCATCCAGAGTGCGGACGACTGATTTCCTCCGATCTCGAAAGATTAGCAGGTTTCGGCCTGGATAGCGTTTAGATGGGCACTGCATAAAGTGTGTTGTGGGGCTACATTATGGGCAGCAGATGGTTGTGCAGCAAAATCTGTTGTACTCTACTATGCTGTCATGTCTGATCCCCGCCTTCAACTCATGCTGACCAGGGTGGTGGGCGTGGTCGAATAACCGTCAAGTTCTGCCGTCATCCAGCATTGGGTTGATTAAGGGCCGCACACGTGCATGTGGACACGAATGTTAATTTTAAATCCTCTCATTAAACTGCTCAGCCAACTTGTTGCGATAAGACGAAGTCGTCTAGCTCCTCGTTACCATTGGCTGAGTGGTGTGACAGGAGAAATGTCTTCTTCTGCTGTCCTGCCACCACAGTTAGGTTTTTTTTCCAGTATTGGGCACATCCTGGACATCTGTGAAAATAGCTTTATAGCTCATTGGATTCCTCCAGTATGAATAAGTATTCAGATTCTGATGTAGCTTCTTTTTCCTTCTTCCACGTGTTTGTCCCACTCATGTGGGGTGTTCCGCTGTCCTTGCCAACTTTCTGCACGCTGCCCTGTCCTGCGCCATCTCTCTTTCCGCTCCTCGGGCCACCGTGTCCGATCGCACCACAACGCCCCACCACCTCTTCTTCTGCCTTCAACTTGATCTCTTTCCTTCCACTTGCATCACTTGCACCTTCTAACCCACGTAATTTTCCTGTTGTCTCTCCACATTACCGAACCACACCAGTCTTTTCTCTCTCATCTTCTCTGTGATTTCTACCACCTTGAGTCTTCCTCTCACTTCTTATTTTCTCACCCTGTAACTTCCTTTTTAAATCCAACATCCACCGCAACATCCTCATCTCTGTGACTGCCATAGCTTGGTCCTCCCTCTTTCTTGTGCCCCAGCAATCGGCCCATACAACAGCACCGGCCTCACCACCGTCTTGTACACTTTTCCCCTCAACCAAACTGGGACCGTCTTATCGCACACCACACCAGTCATCTCTCGCCATTTCAGTTATCCTGCCCTTGGTCTTGTTCTCATCTCTCCTCCTCGTGCTCCATCAGCACACATAGTTGCACCCAGATACTTAAACTAGTTTGTCTTCATTGACTGGTCACTTCCAATTTGCAATCCTCCTGCATTATTTCTACTGAAATTTGCCACCATATACTCAGTCTTTGTCCGACTGATCCTCAACCCATTCGCTTTAATCTTTTGCACCCAGATCTTCAAGTAAACTTCCACTACCCCTCTGCACAATATCTCTCGTAAGTGTGTCCTGCAGCAGGATGTAAAGGAAGGGGTTCAGTGCGGAATCTCGCTTCACTCCCGCTTTGACTTGAAAGCTCTCCGACACCCCACAGCTGCTTCGCCACGTGCATTTTCCCTCCTTTATACACATCCTGGAACAGCTGGATATATACCTCCAGGAATACCTCTTCTTCTCAAACACCACCAGATGAGCTCGCTGCGCACCCTGTTGTACGCTTTCTCTAGATCAATTATCACCATATGCAGGTCCCGTTTCTTCTCTCTCGACTTCTCCATCGATACTCTCAGTGCAAAGATCGCATCCATTGATGACCTTCCCTGTCTGAATCCAAACTGACTCTAGCCAATATCCACCAGCTTCCTCAGTCTCCTTTCTATGATCTGTTCCCAGAGTTTCATTCTGACGTAGCTCCGGTTATCTTAGTCGACGGACCAAAAGACGTTCCACGGTCCGTGTTTCGCCACATCCACTTATGTCGGGGTCGCTAGAGTTGATGGCGCTTCTGGGTATCTACAAGGCTGAGTTTGAGAAAACGTTTAGTTGGCGGCTATGGAGCTCGGATATTAGCATGCTGATGATTGGTCAAGGGCAATGCTTGTTTGTCGGTTTGCACTTGTGCTTGTCGGTGCATTGACCGTGGCTCACGATGACGATGACCTGTGCGCTTCTCAGGGCTCGAGTGCCGGCAGCCCGCAGCGTTCTCATGCGCTCGACGATCAAAGAGAAGCGTGCAAAGACACGGACTGGGATGCGGCGTCATATTGCACGGGTGAGTGCACGCGATGGCACAAAACAACGTAGCTTGAGCTCGGAGATCATGTGACAGTAATGACTTACTTTTAAGGCCTACAAGGCCAAATGGCCCAGAATGCGCCTATTAACAAATAACACTAAATGCACCCAATCTTGTTGTCAGATCTTGAAAGTTAAACGGGGTTGAGTGTGAACACTTGGAAGGGAGGGAGCGTATGTGAATCCTAAGTGTTGTTGGCTTGGGCTGTGAGGAGGCCAGCAGATGATACTGCAGGAGTTAATTGTTAAATCTGTACGTACGGAACAATGATTGTCAACATCTCCCGCAAGCCAAACACTCTTTAATGGAATTAGCCAGGCATTTCAATCCAGGATCCTCCTGACAAAGAGTTGAGATACAGCGAGGTTTTCCTCCATTAAATACATTATTATTATTGTTTATATTTGTTGTCGTTTATGTACGATTACTTGAAAGCACTGAATGTGAAATGAAGTGAAAATAAATAAAAAATAAGGGGTAATGTATTTAAAGTTTTCATGTAAGTCCTTTAATTAAAAAAACCCTTTACGAATGCATTTTGCCAACATGAAATTAGTGTGAAAACGATGATTGACTAATTTTCTTGTTCCCAGAGCCAGTGGCAATGTAAAATCTTTCCTCTCGTGCGAAGAGCCTTAGTGTTTTAACAATTAACGTTTGTGTGTTGTCTTGGATGTGAGAGTTAAACTAACTGAGGCCATCGTTCAAGACAGCATCCTATTCCAATCCCAAGTAATTTATAGCAGAATCGCACACGACCGATGTCTCGGGCTGCTCTGGCAGTTTCGCTCGTCTAAGCGGGATTAGAATACAGCGTTCACAGAGTAAGGTGATGCATTTTTGAAGAGCATCAAATCAGAAGGAAGTGCTTTAGACAAAAGCTATGTCATTCAAAGTATAATGCCATTGCGTATTAAGAGGAAAATTCAGCTGATGTATACTGTAATGTACAAAGTCAGTGACGCAGGGAATGGTACACAACCTCAATAATGAGTATGATGCACGTTAAACTGTTGTCTTGGATTTGATCGAAGGCGCATGGAGACAACACGTGTGATAAAATCAGCATCTCAAACATTACATAAAATCAAACAATACTGCCAAAGGGGTGACCATCAATAGAGGAAACATTCATGATGGGGGATTACTCACTGAAAGATGAAATGCAGGGCACAAGCGGATCACAGCGGCAGAAGACAGTGGAAGGGAGATGTCAGTGTGGAGATAGAATTCAACTAGTGGTGGATTGAAAGGGGATGGTGGTGATTATAATGATGGTGATTATGTTATCTGTGTAGATGACAGCATCGTCGTGTCTCGCCATGTTGCTGGTGAGAAACAAGCTGCAAGAACAATCATCGGGCAGAGGTGAGTGAAGCATGAAATCCATATGCGATTGTTATGTGTGCACACTGTCGACCATTGATTATTTAGATAAAGCGCCCAAAGTCCTGATCTGGCCATGACAGTGCTGTTTTCAGAAAGGGTGTCCGGGTGCTCTGAAGAATTCGCAAAAAATCTGGCTTTCATCACGGTCTCTGTCCTCATACTCAAAGCACGATGTGGGCAAAGGGAGGAGCTATATGAGTAGTGGACCAGCTTGGCAAAAGGACCTATGAGCAGTATTGTGGTGATTGAGTGGGTATGGTTATGTAAAAGTTGGCAGAGCTGATGGAGGGAAGGACTACCAGTTTGCCACGTGTCCCGGTTGGGCTCAAGCATGTGGTATACGTAAATATGCAACAAACATCTGTTCCAAGTCTTTTCCAGATTAGCTGCGTTCCAGGCCTACTCTGTCCTGAGTCAGCTGCGTTTGTGGCGGTTGTCTTGAGTGGGCCGGTGAAGGCATCGCGTCGTGTCTCTCTGCTCTCCCCCCGCGCCGTGGTGTAGGCGTGCGCCAGCCGGTGGGGCACGCAGGAAGGTGCGCGTCCGTCTACTGGACTCGTTTGCGTCGGCTCCGGCCGCCGTGAGCGACGCCGCCGCTCAGGGGCGGCAGCAGCACCAGGAGGCCGCCGCCATCACGGCCGCTTCGGCGGCTGCTGCCACGGCCGCGGCCCTCGCCGCTGCTGCTCCCGTACTCAAGGTCAGCGCCCGACGGCACCGCGCGCCTGCGGTCGTTGTAAAATATTGTACCGGTTTGGTGCCGTTGAAAGTGGCCAGGTGTGTGGGTGGTCGGTACGTTCAACACTCAAGTGGCAGCTTGCCAGGATTTGGTTCAGGTGGCTCGGATGGCTCGTGTCATGGCAGAGCACTGGCACCATTGAGAACCTACGTTCCCATCCATTGTTAAAAAAAAAATACAAGACGTGATATAATATTTGGTCTTTCACGTCAGCATATTTTAACTGAGAATGTAATCAAAATACAATGACCGTTTTCTGTGGGGCAGGTAAAAGGTGTTTTCCCTCATTTGATTAAAAAGAGGCTTTATGGAAGTGATTACCACATTTGGTATGAAACGAAAAGCACTTCTGATTTGCACGGTTGGCTATGTATGGTGCAAAAGAAGTACAGCATACATACATACAAAAGCAAAAAAATGAAGACATTAGTACACCCCATATTCTTGGTTATTGTGCCCAGGTATCCAGCATAATTTCACCAGGCCGTCTGCAGGCATTGCATAACGGAATGTATCCGTCTGATAAAGCGGTTCCTGACATCCGTGTGCACCGGCGTGCTGGCCAGGCTCAGAGTGACCTGGAGGTGAAGGTGGCTGGCGTGACGGAGTTGGTGTCCGGTCTGGCACGGGAGTTGGCGCGGGCGCGAGAGCGGGACGTGGGGCCGGACCTGATCAGGCGGCGTCCAGAGGAGGACGAGCAGCAGCAGCAGCAGCAGCGAGTGCTGCGGCTACAGGAACAGCTGCAGGAGCAGCTTGTGCAGCGAATCTCTGGACTGGAGAGGCAGCACCAGCAGCACGTGGAGTTACAGGTCAGCAGTGACTGTCAGTGAGGTGACCTGTTGGCTCACTAATGTTATTAGTGGTTATCGTTTTTATTTTGAAGACTTTCACGCTACTCATGTAATTTACAATTCGTGCTGTCGGTATATGCGTACGTAGCATTTTATTTTTCCATTTCAGTCCCCCCACACAAAAGAACCACGTGTCACTGTACAATAACCTGGAAGTGACAGACACGGCAGGGAAGTGCTTGGCATCCTTTGAGGGTCTCTCTTACCACAAAATACAGATGGCGCTCTTTAGCTACAAAAAACAAATGAGTGGTTTGCAAGATTCCAGATTTCTATTCATTTTTCAGCAGGTGGTGTGCGTTGATCATGAGTCGTACCAGTCCTGACATTCATGGGGTATGAGCCGCGATCCCTCGACACATGCCAGCGTGTCAGCTGCGAGGCTGTCTCTTCTGCATATGTACTATAGGTTTATGGTGGAGTGCTATATGACTCCACCCTGTGAGCCAAACCTGCTGAATGGTGATTACCCTGTCGATAATTACTCGTTTCGTTTGCCAGGCTGCGCTGCTGAAATGCAAATGCGATTTACAAAATCAGTCCTGGTTATAGCAGTCGCATACGATTTTAGAATGTTAAGTAGTATTTGACTGACCTACCCACGGACATAACAATGATGCAACAATGTTTGCAATATTTACTTTATAATTCACATGCTAATTGTGGTGCTAATATCAGTCAAAGAAATAAGCTTCATGATGCGTTTTGTTGGGCAGTCACCGCTAACTGTGCTCACTGTCAAATACAATGATGATTATCAGCCGTCTGTCAATGCACTGCTGGATGAAGGCCTCCCCAAGCCGTATGAGTCATGGGGGTTTGACCAAGCTTCACCTCGCTGGGCATTGTGGGTTGGTGTGGAGATGGGGATGAGCAAGATTCAGATATCACTCACCACTTATGTTAGCCGTGGCTGGGATTCAAACTTGGGTCGCCGGGCTTGCAGCGTGCGCAGTGCGAACCACTGCACCATTGCTCCGCCCAACATTGTATAGCATTGCACATGAGAATATTGTTTATATCCCATTATCCCTGTGAGCGCAGGCTCTCGGAGCTTCTGGGTCAGTACCACGATGTGGACATTAGGCCTTTGAGCCACTGAACGACCTTTACCCAGGGGCGAAGCCAGGGGGTGACAGGGTAGACAATTGTCACCCCCGAAAAAAAATAAAAAATCGAAAATCTGAAACATTCTGCGTATAAGTGTACGACACTCGGTCTGGCGGACTCCGTGCAACTGCATTGTCAGAGTGTGTCGCCAACCGATGGCGTCTAGTTCAACAGCCTGACTCTCTAATCATTCTTGAAATTAAAATTTGTTGAATGTCACCCCTGGCTGAAAATCCTGGCTCCGCACCTGCCTTTACCCACAGTCTGATTAAAAGTGCAGGGCATTTCTATTCACTCCGGAACTCAAGTCTTTTTTTTATTCACCGAGGGGATATTTCTTCCTCGATAGGAACCGATGCATTTTCTGATCCCACGGGACGTTGCATTTGAGTTTCAGTTTCAGAACAAAGGAATGAGAGAGCTGAGGGGAGATGCTGGCGAGGATTTTAATTTGTCAATTTGACAGACGGTGACAGACCCTTGATGTGAAATATAGTGGCACGCGGGAGGCGTGTTGCACGTGATGGATGCACGTTTCATGCTCAGACAGTTGTGAAATCGAGCATTCTGTGCCTTGACAAGCCGTGGTGTCGGCGTTGTGCACACTGTAAAAAGAAAAATGCAATGCGAGTTAAAAACTCGGGCTGCGAAAGAAACCCTGGGGACGCTGCTTATTGTTCCGTTTTGCGAGATCTACAATGTTTTGAGCATTGCTATGTATGTTTACCTTTATAGTCCTCATCAGCCGTGAATCTATTCACTGCTTGATGAAGGCCCTCTCTTTGTCATCACCGTCCTACATGGGCCTGCAATGCCACAATCTCGTTCCTGTACATGAGCGGATCGCACCACTCCATTTCTGTGTCGGGCTTCCTCTCGTGCACGCTCAGTCCTTGGGCTGCCATTCCATCACCAGGCTCGTTCATTGGCCATTGTTCCTTCTAAAGGTGTGTCCTGCTCATGCCCATTCATTTCTTTTACAGTCAATATGCATGGAAAAGGTTTTCCTACCATGTGTTCATTGTCAGGAGTATAAAATAACGTGGCATTTCTAGTTGTGAATGCATTCTATTCACGTCCATTCCTTTATGTTTCCAGGAATTAACCCACTGCATACATTTTATTGCAAGGTAGACCTCGCTAAATATCGGCATCCATTAAGTTGTGCTTCATCTGTAAGCCATGTTTACTTTACTTTACCTTCCCTGATGAGAATATTTATGTATGGCATGAATATTTTACAATTCATCGTCTCGCTGGGTACACAAGACTCATTTCATGAATGCGCTGATTGGGATGTTAGACCAATTCCTCTTTTGAGCGTTTGTGTGTAGAGGAAACCGGGTGCCTCGTTTAATTAAACCACTAGTGAATTAAATATTTTTTATACACACACACACAAACACTGTACACACAGTGCAGTGTTTGAATTATTGTAACCATCAACCCATTTACTTAAAAATGACAGCTTTGTTCATTCATCAGAAGCGTGTTGGCGCTGTGCTAAAAGAAGCGGCGTTCCTGAGTCGAGAGGTCACCGTCGCCGGGGCGAGCGCCTTGATTGGCGTTGGTATTACGTATCTGGGCCCGGGCCGGTCCCACCACTAAATTAGCAGCGCTCTGCTCCCCAGTCGGCAGCTCACGGCCTATGGTGGAGGAGGGACGGCAGTGGGTGGTGGTGGGGGAGCAGGGGGTGAAACGTGAGGCAGCTGCGCATGCAGCAGCAGCCTCGAGCGAGAAGCCGCGTTGTCCTCGCGTGACCCTACCCTGCAAATTGGTTGCAGCAACGATGTTGGGTTTAGAGGCGGTTGTGGTGGTGGGGGTGGGGGGGGGGTGCTGGGGGGTAGGATAGGGGGGGGGGACCCGACCCAGCTCCAGTAACAAAACGGTGGCGGCGGTTGGAGCCTCGCAACTCCCATCTCCCCGGAGCAGACGTCTGCCCCGGGACGTCGCTTTCACTTTGCGGTGATTGGCGTTTTGGCGAGCGCGCTCGTCGACCGGTTTGAACCTGCGCGGTAATTTGAGAGCCGCCGCATGCGCGCGCACGCGCGCGGCTCTCGCCCCGTGCCGATTTTGGCATCGCCGCTGCGCGCGTTGCTGTGGAGTGTTGGGTGGAAATTTTAAATAGAACCTTTTCTAAAAATTGTCCTTAAAAAATTGTGAATCTGGTGGGGGTGGGGGGGGGGGCTGGAATTGAGCCGAGGATAATAACGTGTAGGGAAAAAACAGCAACGGCTTTGACTTGTGCCCAAGTGTGCGTTTTGTGCATTAACTCGAAGTGAAAATGGTGTTGGCAGTAAAAGCGTGCCATATAAATAGCATTAATGCGCACATCAATTTATATTGCGTATTTATTTGCGTTGCTATATCACCAGAATTAGTTGGGTTATTCAAAAGCGTTATTGCCCAGGATACTGAATTTCCATTGCGGTGAAAGTTCCTCATTGACAAGGTGAACCCCTAGGGACAGCAATTTTCCAGTAGAGTTGACATCATTCAAACATCACATGCTGTTAGATGAAAAAAATAAAGGATGAAACGCAGCTCAAACCACAAAGAATAAAATGTATATCATTTCCAGATGTTTCCAAAGAAAAAAACAGTTTTGCTCATTATACTGTAAGCTCAAGTAAAATAATAAATATATATTCGTAACAGGGTATTACTGCACACATGAAAAGAGACATTTACAGAAGGCATGATTTCTGCGGCAGACCCTCATCAAGCTTGGAAGACGTTTCCACTCGCAGTTTCATTTTCCGCGAAAAATAGCTCTGACCTCAAATGTCTCTCTGTCCTGCAGACTCGCCTGCTCGGCCGCACCCTAGTCCCGCCTGCCGTGCCGGAGAGCGCCGCCTATTGGCCGGTGGCCAACAGTGGCCCCCCGACTGGCCACGCGGGCCCCCTAGCGAAACGCGCGGGTGCCCCGTTGACGTCCGGGACGCCCACCGAGAACGCCGACCTCTGCTCCCGCGCGCCGCCGTCCGGACCTGTGGGGCCGACACGGCCGACACGGCCGACACGGCCGCCCGTCGGCGGCGCGAGGGCCCCACGCGACGAGGCCGGGCCGACGCTCGCCGAGGACGACGACGCCGCCGTCGCTGCCGCCGCGAGCGCTGGCGCCGCCCGCGCCGCCTCAGGCGACGCTGCCGCAGCGGTCCCTTCCAGGCCACCCGGTGGGCACGGTGGCCGACTGGCAGACGCGCCGCATATCTACAATAAAAAAATACCATTTGTTATTTGAGGTTGCATCTTTAAAGCAATAATTCAGTTCCTTTCATCCCAGGCAATCGTTGGACCATTCGCCGAGATTCATTATGTCTCGAGTAAGGACAGATGTGTTGAATAGTAACTTACATTTTGCAGTGCGAGTAGTGCACGCTGATTGTTTAGCATTGAAAAAAAACATCTTTATAATTTCTGTGAGGCTTGTGATGCCTGCCCTTGCCTTCATCTGTCACTGACCCCTGATGCCTTCATAAAATGTGAAGTCACATGAGTTTTTTAATGCCAGAGGAGATGAGCACAGAGGCAGGTGGATGATGAAATCGGTCAAGGGTTAAGAATTGGAAGCGACAGCCCGGCAGTCCCTCATCCAGCAGTGTATTGAGAATGGCTGGTGGGAATGGTGTTGGTGATGAAGTGACAATTAACACGCACATTTTACATGAGAGCTACACACGCGTAATATGAACCATTCCTCCAGCACAAGTAAACGAATACTGCCACGCGTTCTCACCAATGCCTGAGCGTGAACAGGCTTTCAGTTCCATGAAAAAAATCCTGACCACATTCATCATTGATTTCAGTTGGGCCTCGGAGACACACACGCGTATATAGAGTAGGAATATTTGAATAAAAATTGTGGTTTTGACATTATTGTGCCTGACGTGCAGTTGGAAATTCCCAAATTTAACTCAAGCAGAATACATTTGATATTAAGGTATTAACGATTATGTGTAGCATTATTATAATTTTGACAGTTTGCGTCTGAGCTAATTTCAGGCCCTGTTGATGGCAAATTTATTGTTTTTCTCACTGTGTGTGGTTGTTTCTCGGCCTGCAGCAGGTGGTGGTGGGGGCGGCGGTGCGAGGGGTGGCATGGGCGCTGTGCTGGACACGCCGGCACCCAGGCCATGGGCCCCCGTACCCATTCCCCGTGACAAGAGGAGGCCCAGGACCCAACCTGGAGGGCGCCCACAGCCTGCACCCAAAGCCGGTGAGGCCTGCACTTAAGCAATGCAGCATACTCGCCAACCCTACTAATTTAAGTGATAGGTTGCCAATCTTCTTAACCTTTTTACTGCTTATCGATTTTCAAAGCTAATAATATCGCTTTGTGTAAGTTTTGTTAGGACAAGATACGTTTTCATCATGCTATATTTTCTTTAAAAATCAGTCTGCGGTCACGATGCAGTAAAATATGATTTGGATTGAAAAAGCATCTTATTGCGACCGCATTTCAAGACACTGTACACATAGGATGAAACGCGTGCTTCTAGAGAGTTTAAAGATAAGTGGTTTTGGGTATGCATTTTAGTGCTGGGAAAGATGGGTAGAATGGTACAGGCCAGAGGGCATTGAGACAATATAATAAAAGTACGCGTGAAGATACATTATAAAGAGAGAGAGATACAGTTATATACAAAACAGAACATGATATGGAACCTGAAAAGCAGAAGGGTCTCAGGCAATGCAGTTGGGATGCCACGGTGGAGAGATGTTAACTACCTCACCTTGTATACAGGAGGTCGTGAGTTTGATCCTGACCCTGATACCTTTATTTTTGGAGTTTGCATGTTCTCCCTGTGGTCGTGTGGATTTTTCTCTGGGTCCTCCGGTTATTCCCTCCACATTTCGAAACATGCTTTTAGAGTATTTCCACGTGACAAGCCACTTCGTTGAGCTATCATTTGTGGCCAGGTCGCTTCTGAAAAAGAGCTATATAGCTCAGTGGGCCTTACCTGCCAAAATAAAAAATAGTTTTAGTTTTTAGTTTCAGTGGAAGGAAATTCCAGACAATGGGAGCAGCTCCAAGCACCAACACTGACCTCCATCATCATTGCCATTCTCATATACACTGTCATCATTGTTGTGATAGATGTCCCAGACATGCGTCATCGCTGTAGAGCTTGTTAGTTTCACTCCTTCGTTTCCTTGCGGCGTCACTGCCGATTCCTCACAAGCCTTTCCATATATGGATAACCTATGGATCTCGTGCACATTGGCAAGGCCCTTGTTCTATTAAACTAGAACCAAAAACTATTTTATTTACCAAGTAAGGCCAACTGAGCTATATAGCTCCTTCTCAGAAATGTCCTGTCCACAAATGATAGCTCAACGAAGTGGCTTATCATCATGTGTAAACTAATAGCAGCCAAATACTCTCAACATATGCTTCTAAATGTGAAGGAAAAAAAACGGAGGACCCGGGGAAAACATGCAAACTCCAAATATACAGGCGTCGGGGTCGAGATCGAACCCACGACCTCCTGTATACCAGGCGAGGTAGCTAACATCTTGTCACCGCGACGTCCTATTTGGCTCTGCATGATTGGGCGCTGAAGCTTGGTTCTACTTGCGTTGAATGAATCGGTGTGAGCGGCGCTGACACTGAGAGGAAGGCGCTTGCTACGAAGGTGAGGCTAATAACCTCGCATTGGTTCATTATTTACAATGCAACTCCTGAAATAGGTGAATGCAGCAGCTCTCTTGTGTCAGAATATCTGCGATTTTTGCCTTCATTCATAGAGTCCTAAGGATTTGTGGGTAGTTGGGCGTAGACATGCTTCTTTGAAGCATTGGGAGTGGGGGAAGGTCTGCGATGCAGCTAGACACACCTCATACAAGGTTTGCAACAATCTGGGGACAACTTATTTTGAGGTATATTTACGTCCGCAGCATCCCAGATGTTCTAACCTACTAGCACCTTCGATTAGCACGGTTGACTACGTACGATGCGAAAGAAGTTCAACATACATAAATAGAATGCAAAACATTGTGATCCCGTGTTGGCATTGGTGCAAAAGCACACATTTCTAAAACTCAACACATTCGTCAATAACACTGCCCTAAAATGAAAAACAATATTATAATGTATGACGTTTCAGGCAATGGTCCTTCTTCATAGCAAGAGTTCGGACATAAAAGCTGCTTTCAAATGAACGATGCAAATGACAGGCTCTGGCCACTAAGAGGCGCAGCTGTCTTATGCTGCAGCCCATTCCACACTCGGGACAATTTCCCCATTCATCTTCGTTTGCGTTCAGCCACTTATTCGTGGGTAGTGGCAGCCACCCGGAAAACACCGTTGCCATTATTCAGGTCACGCCTCGGATTTATGAGATGCATTTTTATAAATTAACGTATCTCAAAGGTTTATACAAGCTCATTGTGTAATCCCCCCTTCCCCGCACTACGAGCGCATTAACAATGACGAAACCTCGCCTTCCACGTTGCGCATCGCCCTCGCACGACAAGTGGCAACAACAACAAAAAATGAAGCCACGCGCTAATCTGAGTGCGATTTTAATGGGCCCGAGGGACCGTAGTTTGGAGCGTTCTTTATTTTACGGGCAGGGGTGACCCTTGACCTTATTGAATCACCGTTCAGTGTGGGGTTATTTCTAAGGTGAAGGCCCCCCCCCCGGTGGTTTGCCAAGCCCAGCGCTCTGGAATTTCTCCTTATGAGCGAGCGGTGATTATTTCATGCCCAGGCGCTCAGCGGACGAGTTGGTGCCGTGACGCGGGGTTGCTGGACCCTCGGCACGCGCTGTAACATTAACCTGCAAGCTGCGGTGTCGGGACAGCGGCCGAGACTCATCACTTTAACTGTCCATCAACCGTTCTATTCACTCCACCACGCACCCACACCTTATTTGTGCTGTTTTATAGAGCGTCCATCCATGCAAGCAGCATCTCACACCCGCTGCGCAATCCACAAACACGGATGTGCATATGTATTAAGTGTTACATGTGTGGGTGGAAAGCAGAGCGCACGGTACAATACCCCTCGAGCAAGGGGGGGGGGGGCAACACTCTATCGTACAGAAGGGGTGCTGGATTACAGACGTGCAGTCACCACCGCCACCCGGCTGTGTCCGCCTACCTTGGCAAGCCCTTGTCAGGGAATGGAAGAGAGAGCAATTATGAGAATTGTTGTGTGGACTTTTTTGGGTCATACACGGAGCTCATTATAATTATTCCTCAGTTTCCATTTAACTTTTAACACAATTTAAATAGACACGTGGCATTTTCAAATCTGAGAGTATTTTCCTGCTCGGAAACCCCCCCCCCCCCCGCCAACTAATTTTGTGACGAGCGCTTCAACTTTGCGAGTGGGGAAGAGCGTAGGAAGTAATTTGCGCAGCGGAGTCTTGGAAGTTTATTAAGTGTGGTCAGCAGCGCCTGACGTAATTTATGTACCCGCTGACAAGGCTGCTGTCTCGCTCTCCCTGGCCCGTCTGGTGAAACGGCCTCTCGCAGTACGTATTGAACACCAATTAGGCCGCACCACATATAACGCCAGGTCACCTCTGACCCAGTCACAGTAATTTACTGTCAGAAAAATATCGTGCGGCCATAAAAATTAGTATTTTTTTGGCCGACCGAAAATAATGTGCCCTTGTGTGCATGTTTTTCCTTCCTTCGTCAGAATTAAAAACGTTCACAACAAATTAGTCGTTAATCTTAAATGTCACTTGAAAGCAGCATATTTTCAAGGACCATTAAACACCCGGTGTGCACGTGGAACCTGCAGGCAGCAGCTGTCACTGCGACTGTCGCTCTCAGCCAGCCGGGGCTCGAGCGCCTTCCTTGGGAAGCGAGGGCAGCTTTGTCGACGTTTCACTTTGGACGCAGTTTACTTTTCTGGCGAGTGTCCTCCGTTAACTCTGATGCGTTTTCCAGCCGTGTCCCTCCAACGGGCCATCTCCAATTGTTTGAGTGAACTTGTTGTACGTGACCTTTTGTGTTTTTGGCTTACGTTTATGTTGAGCCAAACTTTCCAGCCTCCTTCATGAAAGTGTGCTATCATTTCCTCTAGTTTTTTTCCATTGGAGATTATGGTGGCTGTCATCAGCAACTTTAAGATTTTTTTCTCCCATTTGTTTTGATATTTCTTTTTTTCCATCCTAGTGGTTGGAAAATCTTCTGTAACATCGCAGTGAATAACTTGAACAAAGCGGGTCTCCTTGTCTGATTTCCAGTCTAAGATGTATTTTGGTATTTAATGTAATCGTTTTTGTAAATGGTTTATGTGAATTCTTAATTTATATTATTTATACCTTGGTTTGTGAGAGCTTGGATGACTGCATTTATTTACACTTCGTCAATGCCTTTTCGAAAGTCTATATAGGTACGGCAATGGTATTTGGTATTTATGAGTATTTTTCAGAATCTGATTGATCGTATGTGTGTGGTCAGTGGTACAGAAATGTTTTCTAAGCCCACCTTTGCTCGTGTGGTTTGCTTGGCCTCTCATTTTTTTAATGTATTATTCTGCATTAAGAGACGCTCGCTTAGAAATGTTACTGACCGACAGAGGGAGGAAACTAAACTTTTTTTTTATTTTACCAGGTTACAGACCACTGAGCTATACACCTATGATAGGCCAACGAGAAGTGGCTTGTCATGTGCAAATTTATAGTAGGAGCCAAATACTCTAAACGCATGTTTCAAAATGTGGAGGGAAAAAACCGGAGGACCCGGAGAAAAATCCACACGACCACGGTGAGAACTCCAAATATACAGTAAAACCTTGGATTGCGAGTAACTTGGTCTGCGAGTGTTTTGCAAGACGAGCAAATTTTTTTAATAAATATTCATTTGATAAACGAGCGAGGTCTTGCAATACGACTAGTACGCATACACGCTTTGTCTGTCGAGCGTCACGTGATCACAACTGATATACGATCGCTTTGGATTACAAACACGTTTTTGGAACGAATTATGCTCGCAATCCAAGGTTTTACTGTACAGGCGTCGGGGCCGGGATCAAACCCACGACCTCCTGTATACCAGTTAAGGACGTTAACATCTCGCCACCGTGGCGCCCAATGATGTGGATCACGATGAGGTGGAGGCCTTCATCCAATAGTGGATAGCCCCTGGTTGCTGAGCACGATGAGTTCGTGAACATAAAAATGCACGCATTGCAAGTCTCGTATGCCGCTGCTTTGTTGACACAGCCTCGAGAGAGAACTTCCGAGTTTGACGCTG